CATTACAGTAACTGAAAAGATATCAGAAGAACAACCAACTCCTTGGAGACAGGGTGAGAAAATACCATTCAGAACAGAGAGTATTGAACCTGAATTGGTTCACTTGGAGCCAATTCAAGTAACTCACACGAAAGTAGAAGACACTTATGAAGCCCTTCAAACAGAAATGAGTGAACAAGTCAAGGCTACAGTTACAGAAGAACTTAAAGATTCCATTACAGTTACAGAAAAGATACCAGAAGAACAACCAACTCCTTGGAGGCAAGGTGAGAAAGTACCATTCAGAACAGAGAGTATTGAACCTGAATTGGTTCACTCAGAGCCAATTCAGGTAACTCACACGAAAGTAGAAGATACATATGAAACTCTTACTACAGAAATGAGAGAGCAAGTCAAGGCTACAATTACAGAAGATCTCAAGGATTCTGTTACAGTAACTGAAAAGATATCAGAAGAACAACCAACTCCTTGGAGACAAGGTGAGAAAATACCATTCAGAACAGAGAGTATTGAACCTGAATTGGTTCACTCAGAGCCAATTCAAGTAACTCACACGAAAGTAGAAGATACATATGAAACTCTTACCACAGAAAAGGGCGAACAAGTCAAGGCTACAGTTACAGAAGAACTTAAAGATTCCATTACAGTAACTGAAAAGATATCAGAAGAACAACCAACTCCTTGGAGACAAGGTGAGAAGGTACCATTCAGAACAGAGAGTATCGAACCAGAATTGGTTCACTTAGAGCCAATTCAGGTAACTCACACGAAAGTAGAAGATACATATGAAACTCTTACCACAGAAAAGGGAGAGGAGGTAAAAGCTACAGTTACAGAGGAACTTAAAGATTCCATTACAGTAACTGAAAAGATACCAGAAGAACAACCAACTCCTTGGAGGCAAGGTGAGAAAGTACCATTCAGAACAGAGAGTATTGAACCTGAATTGGTTCACTCAGAGCCAATTCAGGTAACTCACACGAAAGTAGAAGATACATATGAAACTCTTACCACAGAAAAGGGAGAGGAGGTAAAAGCTACAGTTACAGAGGAACTTAAAGATTCCATTACAGTAACTGAAAAGATACCAGAAGAACAACCAACACCTTGGCAACAGGGTGAAAAGGTACCATTCAGAACTGAGAGCATTAAGCCTGAGTTAATACCATCAGAACCTATCCAAGTAACAGACACAAAGACCGTTGATACATGCGTTACTTTCCAGGATGAAAAAAGTGAAGAAGTTAAAGCAATTATTACTAAGGATCTAAAGGATTCTATTACTGTTACTGAGAGACTTTCAGAGGAGCAACCATATCCACTGAAGAAACCACAAAGAGTAACAGCAGATGCCGCTCATCATATGCTCATGGTAATGGAACATGACTCAATTTCCGTGTCTGAAGTTTATGCTAAAGAAGGGGGTACTCAGTTTGAGTCGGAGAAAGCAGAAGTACAGAAGGCCACCGGGAAATTAGAACCGCTAGAAGCTCTGACCACGACTGATCAACGCAGTGAGGAATACTTCTCTCAGCTCTCGGATATGCTCAAGACGACAGAAAAAGCTACTCTTTTGGATCAAGATGCAAAACATACACTAGAGATTACAGAGCAAGTCCCTCATGAAACTATTGTTGATTTGAAGAAAGCACAGCGTGTATATGAGAACCTCAAGTGTGGCCTCATTGAACAAAATGCTGCTCTGACGCAGGAAATTTTGGTTCATGATGCAGAGGATACTTATGAATCAAAGGCACCTAAAGTTGCTTTCACAAAACAAACAACTGTAACAAAAGAATCTGAAGCTGTGATCGTTGCAGAGCAAAAACTAGAAGAAGATTCAGTTCAGTGGGAAAAACATCCAGATTTGTTAGAACGAGCCAAGCCAAACGTTCAAGAATTGAGGCACATCCAAGTTTCTGAAACCTTTAAATCGGACAAAGAGGACATTTTCACACAACCCACAGCTTTGAAACAACAAGGAAAGCCTTCGGAAGTCCAGCCATTAGAAGCCCTTACAGTTCTGGGTCATGACGTACAAGAAGATGCCGCCTCGTGGAAGTCTCGCGTAGACAAGGAACAGACAGCTAGAGCATCAATTCTTGAAAACATGTCACTAAGTGTCTTGGAAACACAGCAACATGATTCATTTAAAGAATATAAAGTGGATAAACCATTGGAAGCACATGCGACCCAAATGGAAGGAAAACGAGAAGCTTTGGCGGTGTCCGAAGTTAAGGCTGTGTCTCCTATTCGTGAGATATCAAAAGCAGAAACAAAGGAAGAACATGCAGAGGTTATTCATGCAAAAAATACATCTGTGGTTATTTCATCCTCTGAAGTTCGAGAGAGTGAGGCACCTTTGAAAATCCAGCGCCCATTGGAAATGCATGCAGAGGGATTAAGCTTTGATGCTTACCATCCTTTAACAGTTGCTGATACCGAGGTTCAATTACCAGTTGACATTTTAAGCAAGCCAGAGATACTAACAGGGACAGCAAAAACAAGTTTCATTCCACAAAAAGCACTCGAAGTTCTCGAATCTCAGACTCACCAAAAAGAGAAAGAATTCCTCCCAGCGAAGACGGCAGATATGAAGTTGGAGGGACAGGTTGAATGCAGCGAGTATTCCCTTGAAGTTAGAGAAACCAAGGCTCAATCGCCCATAAGGGACCTGAAAGAAAGCAAGCCTTCTTTAGACATGGCTAGTGCATCATTGATTCCACAGAAGTCTGTGAATGTTTCAGAAGTTTCAGTAAGCTACAAAGAAGAAGAGTTTAAAGAAACTCCCAGATATTCACACGTAGCAACATCAGAACAGCTTCCCGGCCATGAGCCTCTCCATGTAACTCAGAGCAACGTTCAGGACAGCACACAAGAATTCAAGCCTATTGCTCCTCAAGAAGAAGTTGCATCTGTGGATCTTAAGGGTTTCCATGCAGCATCTGTGACTGAAGTTCACGCTGAACAAGGTGAAGAGGTATATCAACCTGACAAGCTGCCCGTCACCACTGCCAAAACCGATTTGGTAGAGGGTATGCCGTCCATTATAACTCAAGAAGTCTGTGTTTCGTCATCTGTTCAGGAATTATCTGTTCCTGACATGCCAAAGACCAGAGAAGCTACCACAGGATTTGAGGAAAAGAAAGCTGTATCCATTCATGAAACTGATACTCATGAAAAGGAAGAAACATTTACTGAAGCAAAACCTTTACAATTACAGTTGCAGTCCAAGATCAATGGCGGGCTAGAGCCACTTCTCATAACCGAAGTAGAGAGTGAAGAGTTTACAGGTAAAGTACCACTAGACACGGTGCCCACCATGGAAAGTGCAAAGATTGAACTGACACATGCTACGAAGGTGGCATTGTCATCCGGTGTCCTCATAAATGAACGAGAGGGCTGGCACGAGGAAGATAAACCTGATATCCAAAAGGCCGAAGGTAGTATCAGTGCAGACGAGGCTATTACAGTTTCAGAAACACTTCCACAGTCAGGAACTGAAGAACTTAAGATAGCGCCTCTACCAAAGACTGAGGAGGGAACAGGCTCGCTGGTGTCATCCAAAACGGCAATGATCTCAGAAGTTATCCTTCATGAGAAAGAAGGAATACATAAATCCAGCACTTTCCCGACAATCTCTATACCAGGCCAAACACAGCCTCCAAACTTACCATTAATCGTGCAAGAAACGCGCACTGAATCTAGTTTAGTAGAAATGGTGGACCAAAAGATTCAGCCTTCCGAGTCTGCATCTGTGTCCCTTATTGCACATCAGATCGCCTCTGCTTCAGATGTTGGAGTGAGTGAGAAAGAAGGTATATATAAACATGATAAACCAAAAGAAGATCTTGCTAATGTGGAATATGAAAGCGAGAAGGCTCCCATCCAGGTAAGTGAAACTAGAGCGGAATCGCCCGTCAAAGATTTTACAGATAAGAAGCCACAAGATGCACAGGCCAAGCCATATATCATACCTCAGAAGGCTGTTGCTGTATCTGAAACAGACACAAAAGATAAGGAAGGAATACTGAAAATGGAGAAGCCAGCAACAGTTACTCTGGAGTCTGATATGACCCAGCCTTTGCATCCAGTGACAGTGTCTGAGGTAACAGCTGATTCCAGCATCAGCAAGCTGTCTATTGATAAAGTAAATGAAGAGCAAGCAGAAGCAAGTCATATTCCTCATCGTGCCGCAGCTGTTAGTGAGGCAATGGTTCACTTCAAAGAAGATGATTACGACGAGTTTAAACCCACTCTCGTTGCACCCAAAGAATTCCACACTCCAGGCCACGAGTCCGTCCTTGTAACAGAAACCCGTCCTGAATCTCCCGTTCTAAGGCGCGAAGAAAAGGAAGTTCCGAAGAGTAAAGCCAAAAGTGAGGTCATTTCACAAGATACAGTTCAAGTGCAGGAAATCCGAGTTCATGAATCCGAGAGTGATTTTGAAACCGTCGCACCTGTGCATTCAGTAGGAGAGTCACACAGAATTCCGGAACATATTTTGGCAATATCTACTAACATCGAACCATCTGACTGCCTCCAGAAATTAGCTGAAGCAGATAAAATCGTAGGTAAAACTGCAACCCTTACAGTTAACGCCCAACAAGCAGCAGAAGTATTACAACACGATGTAAGTGAAGCAGGAAATATATTGATTGACGAGAAATTGGAAAGCAAAAAAGCATATCCAAGTGTTGAAGAAATGCAGTCTGTTTCCGTGTCAGAAGTTAGTGCTGAAACGAAAGAACAAAATTACATTGCGGAGAAACCATACGAACACAACGTGGAAGCCAAACCAGTCCTTACTCCCCTCCACCTTGCGAATGTCGCCCATCCTGACATTGCAGAACAGGAGGGTAGCATTCCTAAACTCGACATCCCTAGTACCACCCACGCTAAACTTCACTTTACCCCACACACATCTAAACAAATAAGCGAACAGCAACCAGATATACTTCCAGGCATATTTAAACCGGAACAACCTATTCTGGCTACAGGTAACATTGTATTGGAACAAGCTACACATGTCTCTGGCTCTCAGGAAGTCGTTGTCGAGACTGTAGCTGAAGAGGTCATCAAGCAGACTCCACAGACAAAACAAGCACACCCATTATTTGATACGCAAGAAACTATTTCTGTGACGCAAGTGTCCGTTCTTAACCAAACAGAGCTCTTGGATGACGTTACCAAGCCTATGCCTGTAGTCGCACAGCCAGGACACGTGACCCAGCAGAGCATTCACGTGGAGGAGGCTGATTTACGTGAATCTTCCTCATCCGTTACGTTTGAGAAAACTACTGAACGAACAGCTACGACAGTGTTTGATGAAAGAGAGCATGTTACTGTTTCAGAAGTCAAATCGAATGAACTTCCAATGGATCTGTACGAGAAAATTGTTGAAGGAAAAGCGATACCCGTTATAAAGCCTCTTGAAACTGTCACTGTCTCCTCTGTAACTCTAGCTGAACAGTATGAAGAAACTGAGAGTCATAAACCAAAATTGGAGAAAGCTGAACCTATTACAACGCCACAACAGTGTGCTTCTACTGAAGAGACCGAAGTTCATGAAAGTTCTGGAATAATAGAAATCAAACGTCCAACAGAAGAAAAGGCTACAACTCATGTATCAAAACGTGAATCTGTCATGGTCTCAGAGGTGAAAGCAGAAGAAAAGCCAATTTCACTAAGAGATAGAACACCTTCTCAAGAGAGAGCAAAGAGAGTTATGTCTAAACAAAAGCATGTTATTGTATCAGAAACGTCAACTTCAGAAGCTCCAGGATTTGTCCAGCATATCAAACCTATTGAAGATAAAGCTAAAACAGTTTTATCTCAAAGGGTATCGGTTATAGTATCAGAGGTACGACCTGAGGAGGGTACACGGACAGCCAAACCAAGAACACCATCACAGGAACGAGCTCGAAAGGTACTTTCTCAAAAAGAATCTTTCGTCGTTGAGGAAGTCAAAGTCCACGAGGTGCCTAAAGATCTCCCTAAAGGTAAACCTAAGACCGATAAAGCAAAGAAGGTAATGCCACAACAGGAATCTATCACAGTTCAGGAAACAAGAGTTGAGGCACATGCAGGTGACCTTTCACACACAATGCCTAAAGAGGAGAAGGCCATGCAAATCCTACTTAACCAGTCATCTTTATCTGTATCCGAAATCTCAAGTCAAGAAATGCCTGTGCAAATGCCCGAATACAAGCCAGAGAAAACACAATCTGCGAAGACCAAAATAGACCACAGGGAAGTAGTTACAATCTCTGAGGTGACAGCTGATGAAGTGCCTCATATTGTCCCTGAGGAAAAGCGGAAAACAGAAACGGCAAATATGATTCTACCAGACACAAGAGAAACAATCCAGATTTCTGAAGTTTCAGCTCAAGAATCATCAGAAAGTGTCGTACAAGTAAAGACAAAAGAAGAATATGCTCAAGTGGTTGTTAAGCCGACTGAGTCCATCAGTGTTTCACAGACACAGGTTCATGAGTCAGTTGATGACGTTCGTGTAGCAAAACTTAAGGAAGAAAAAGCTTTAACAATCCTTCCACAACAAGATTCCATTACAGTGCAGGAGATAAGTGTTAAGGAGGCCCCACAAGATATTAAAGACCACAAACCTAAAACTGAACAGGCTAAGTCCATATTGTCACCACGAGAGTCAATTGCAGTTGAGGAGATCAACGTCAAAGAAAGCCCTGTATCAGTAGATGACGTGAAGCCAAAAACAGAACAAGCAAAATCTATTATTTCGCCTCATGAATCACTTACTGTTGAAGAAGTAACAGTAAAGGAAACTCCAAAAGATATTAGCGAGGTGAAACCTAAATCACAGACAGCCAAGTCAATTTGGTCTGAGCAGGAGTCCATTTCTGTTCAAGAAGTTACAGTAAAGGATGCTCCAGGATCAGTGAAAGATGACAAGCCAAAAACAGAGACAGCAACATCAATTATTTCGCCCCACGAGTCACTTACTGTCCAAGAGGTGTCTGTCAAAGAAGCGCCAGGAGATATTAAAGATGACAAGCCAAAAGAAGAACGAGCTACTTCAATCTTGTCTCCTCAGGAATCGATCGCTGTTCAAGAGGTATCTGTTAGAGAAGCTCCTGGGTCAGTGAAGGATAGTATTCCAAAGAAGGAACAAGCTACGTCTATTATTTCTACTCATGAATCGGTCACTGTTCATGAAGTGACAGTGAAAGAGGAACCAAAAGATATATCAGATAAGAAGCCAAAGACAGAAAAGGCAACTTCAATTTTATCAGAACAGGAGTCCATTTCTGTGGAAGAAGTCTCTGTAAAAGAGGCTCCTGGCTCGGTGAAAGATTTGAAACTGAAGACAGAACAAGCAGCCTCAATTATTTCCCCGCACGAGTCACTAACTGTTCAAGAAGTAACAGTGAAGGAAGCTCCAGTAGAAATTACTGACAAAAAGCCAAAGGAGGAAAAAGCGACTTCAATATTGTCTCAACAAGAATCGATTGCTGTGCAGGAGGTTTCAGTGAAAGAAGCTCCTTATTCGATGGAGGAAGACAAACCAAAGGCTGAGAAAGCCACATCAATCATTTCTCCACATCAGTCGCTTACCATCGAGGAGGTCACAGTAAAAGAAGCTTCAGGAAATATAAGTGATAAGAAACCTAAAACAGAGAAAGCAATTTCAATATTGTCTGAACAGGAATCCATATCTGTCCAAGAAGTCTCAGTGAAAGAAGCTCCGGGATCAGTTAAGGAAACAAAACCCAAAACAGAGCAAGCAACCTCAGTTATATCACCACATGAATCCCTTACTGTTCATGAGGTGTCTGTTGGAGAAGCCCATCAGGACTTAAGTGACCAAAAGCTTAAGACTGAAAAGGCAACTTCAGTTCTCTCTGAACAAGAGTCTATTTCTATTCAAGAGATTTTGGTAAAAGATGCTCCGGGCTCGGTAAAAGATATTAAGCCAAAGTCAGAGCAAGCAACATCTATTATTTCTCCTCACGAATCATTGACAGTCCAGGAAGTATCAGTTAAGGAATCTCCATCAGAGATCAGTGATAAAAGACCAAAGTCAGAAAAGGCAACATCCATATTATCTGAACAGGAATCTATCTCTGTTCATGAAATATCTGTGAAAGACGCTCCTGGATCAATGAAAGATGCAAAGCCTAAGACTGAGCAAGCAACATCTGTCATTTCTCCTCACGAATCACTGACTGTCCAGGAAGTATCAGTTAAGGAATCTTCAACAGAGATCAGTGATAAAAGACCAAAGTCAGAAAAGGCAACTTCCATATTGTCTGAACAAGAGTCCATCTCTGTTCAAGAAATCTCAGTTAAAGATGCTCCGGGATCAATAAAAGATGCAAAGCCTAAGACGGAGCAAGCTACCTCTATCATTTCTCCACACGAGTCGCTCACTATTCAAGAAGTATCAGTTAAAGAAACACCAACAGACATTAGTGACCGAAAACCAAAAACGGAGAAAGCAACTTCAATATTATCTGAACAAGAATCTATTTCTGTTCAAGAAGTATCAGTAAAAGAAGCTCCTGGTACAGTGGAAACTGCCAAGCCAAAGACCGAGCAAGCAACATCAATTATTTCTCCACACGAATCAATTTCCATTCAAGAAATATCTGTGAAGGAAGCTCCCACTGACATAAGTGACAAAAAGCCAAAATCCGAGAAAGCGACATCAATTTTGTCAGAACAAGAATCGATTGCTGTGCAGGAGGTGTCTGTGAAAGAAGCCCCAGGCTCGATAGAAGAAGCAAAGCCTAAAACAGAATACGCAAAATCCTCCATTTCTCCACACGAATCGCTTACAGTTCAAGAAGTGTTAGTGAAGGAAGCGTCAGCAGACATCAGTGACAAGAAGCCACAGACAGGAAAAGCAACTTCCATATTGTCTGAGCAGGAATCAATTGCAGTACAAGAAGTGTCCGTTAAAGAGGCGCCTGGAAGAGTGGAAGATGTTAAACCCAAAACTGAGCAAGCAACATCTATTCTTTCTGAACACCAGTCACTTACTGTTCAAGAGGTCACAGTGAAGGGAGACTCTGCTGAAATAAGTGATAAAAAACCAAAGACTGAGAAAGCAATTTCAATTTTATCTGAACAGCAGTCTATTTCAGTCCAGGAAATCACTGTGAAAGAAGCTCCTGGATCTGTGAAAGAAGACAAGCTGAAACCAGAACAAGCAACATCGGTCATATCACCACTTGAATCACTCACTGTTCAAGAGGTATCAGTGAAAGAATCTTCTGGAGACATAAGTGATAGAAGACCAAAAACAGAGAAAGCAACGTCAATATTCTCAGAACAGGAATCAATTTCTGTTCAAGAAATTTCCGTGAAGGAAGCTCCAGGAACCGTGGCAGATGTCAAGCCCAAAGAAGAGCAGGCAACGTCTATCATTTCTGAACACCAGTCGCTTACTGTTCAGGAGGTAACAGTTAAAGAAATTCCAACAGACATAAGTGACAAAAAGCCTAAGTCAGAGAAGGCAACTTCCATATTGTCTGAACAGGAGTCCATCTCTGTCCACGAAGTGTCGGTAAAAGACGCTCCTGGTTCCATGAAAGATGCTAAGCCAAAGACTGAGCAAGCAACATCTGTCATTTCTCCTCACGAATCACTGACTGTCCAGGAAGTATCGGTTAGGGAAGTTCCAACAGAGATCAGTGACAAAAAACCAAAGTCAGAAAAGGCAACATCCATATTGTCTGAACAAGAGTCCATCTCTGTTCAAGAAATATCTGTGAAAGAAGCTCCAGGTTCCATGAAAGATGCGAAGCCAAAAACTGAGCAAGCAACATCTGTCATTTCTCCTCACGAATCACTGACAGTCCAGGAAGTGTCTGTTAAGGAAGCTCCAACAGAATTAAGTGACAGAAAACCCAAAGAAGAGAAAGCAACTTCAATATTATCTGAACAGGAATCCATCTCTGTCCAAGAAGTATCGGTGAAAGAAGCTCCTGGATCTGTAAAAGATTTAAAACTAAAGACGGAACAAGCCACTTCTGTCATTTCTCCTCACGAATCACTGACCGTCCAAGAGGTATCTGTTAAAGAAGCTCCAACAGAGATCAGTGACAAAAAGCCAAAGACAGAACAAGCAACATCTATATTATCTGAACAGGAATCCATTTCCATCCAGGAAATATCTGTGAAAGAAGCGCCTGGTTCCCTGAAAGATGAGAAGCCCAAGTCAGAGCAAGCAACATCCATCCTTTCTGAACATCAGTCACTCACTGTTCAAGAAGTTACGGTGAAGGAAGCTCCGGCAGATATAAGTGATGTGAAGCCCAAGACTGAAAAAGCAACATCAATTTTGTCTGAACAAGAGTCCATCTCTGTTCAAGAAATATCTGTGAAAGAAGCTCCAGGTTCAATGAAAGATGCAAAGCCTAAGACTGAGCAAGCAACATCTGTCATTTCTCCTCACGAATCACTGACTGTCCAGGAAGTGTCGGTTAAGGAAGTTCCAACAGAGATCAGTGACAAAAAACCAAAGTCAGAAAAGGCAACTTCAATATTGTCAGAACAAGAATCCATCTCTGTCCACGAAGTGTCGGTGAAAGAATCTCCTGGTTCCATGAAAGATGCTAAGCCAAAGACTGAGCAAGCAACATCTGTAATTTCTCCTCACGAGTCACTGACTGTCCAGGAAGTGTCTGTTAAGGAATCTCCAACAGAATTAAGTGACAAAAAGCCTAAGGAAGAGAAAGCAACTTCAATTTTGTCTGAACAGGAATCCATTTCTATTCAAGAAGTGTCTGTGAAAGAAGTTCCTGAATCGATGAAAGATCTGAAACCAAAGACAGAACAAGCAACATCTGTTATTTCAGAACTCTTGTCCCTTTCTGTTCAAGAGGTATCAGTGAAAGAATCCCCTGGAGATCTTAGTGATAAAAAACCAAAGACAGAAAAGGCAACTTCCATTCTGTCCGAACAGGAGTCTATCTCTGTCCAGGAAATATCTGTTAAAGAAGCTCCTGGTTCAGTGGAAGAAGTTAAGCCAAAGACTGAACAAGCAACATCCATTATTTCCCCACATATGTCATTAACAGTTCAGGAGGTAACAGTAAAGGAAGTTCCAGCAGATATAAGTGATGTAAAACCAAAGTCAGAAAAGGCAACTTCAATATTGTCTGAACAAGAGTCCATCTCTGTTCAAGAAATATCTGTGAAAGAAGCTCCTGGTTCAATGAAAGATGCCAAGCCAAAGACTGAACAAGCAACATCTGTCATTTCTCCTCACGAATCACTTACTGTCCAGGAAGTGTCGGTTAGGGAAGTTCCAACAGAGATCAGTGACAAAAAACCAAAATCAGAAAAGGCAACTTCTATATTGTCGGAACAGGAGTCCATCTCTGTTCAAGAAATCTCTGTGAAAGAAGCTCCAGAATCAATGAAAGATGCAAAGCCAAAGACTGAGCAAGCAACATCTGTAATTTCTCCTCACGAATCACTGACAGTCCAGGAAGTGTCTGTTAAGGAAGTTCCAACAGAGATCAGTGACAAAAAACCAAAGACAGAGAAGGCAACTTCCATATTATCTGAACAAGAATCCATCTCTGTCCAAGAAGTATCGGTGAAAGAAGCTCCTGGATCTGTAAAAGACTTAAAACCAAAGACGGAACAAGCCACTTCTGTCATTTCTCCTCACGAATCACTGACCGTCCAAGAGGTATCTGTTAAAGAAGCTCCGACAGAGATCAGTGACAAAAAGCCAAAGACAGAACAAGCAACATCTGTATTATCTGAACAGGAATCCATTTCCATCCAGGAAATATCTGTGAAAGAAGCGCCTGGTTCCCTGAAAGATGAGAAGCCCAAGTCAGAGCAAGCAACATCCATCCTTTCTGAACATCAGTCACTCACTGTTCAAGAGGTTACGGTGAAGGAAGCTCCAGCAGATATAAGTGATGTGAAGCCCAAGACAGAAAAAGCAACATCAATTTTGTCTGAACAAGAGTCCATCTCTGTTCAAGAAATATCTGTGAAAGAAGCTCCAGGTTCAATGAAAGATGCTAAGCCAAAGACTGAGCAAGCAACATCTGTCATTTCTCCTCACGAATCACTAACTGTCCAGGAAGTGTCGGTTAGAGAAGTTCCAACAGAGATCAGTGACAAAAAACCAAAGTCAGAAAAGGCAACTTCAATATTGTCTGAACAAGAGTCCATCTCTGTTCAAGAAATATCTGTGAAAGAAGCTCCAGGTTCAATGAAAGATGCCAAGCCAAAGACTGAACAAGCAACATCTGTCATTTCTCCTCACGAATCACTGACAGTCCAGGAAGTGTCTGTTAAGGAAGCTCCAACAGAATTAAGTGACAGAAAACCCAAAGAAGAGAAAGCAACTTCAATATTATCTGAACAGGAATCCATTTCTGTTCAAGAAGTGTCAGTGAAAGAAGCTCCTGAATCGATGAAAGAGGCAAAACCAAGGACAGAACAAGCAACATCTGTTATTTCAGAACTTCTGTCCCTTTCTGTCCAGGAAGTATCGGTGAAAGAATCTCCTGAAGATTTTAGTGACAAAAAACCAAAGACAGAAAAGGCAACTTCCATTCTGTCCGAACAGGAGTCTATCTCTGTCCAGGAAATATCTGTTAAAGAAGCTCCTGGTTCAGTGGAAGAAGTTAAGCCAAAGACTGAACAAGCAACATCCATTATTTCCCCACATATGTCATTAACAGTTCAGGAGGTAACAGTAAAGGAAGTTCCAGCAGATATAAGTGATGTAAAACCAAAGTCAGAAAAGGCAACTTCCATATTGTCTGAACAAGAGTCCATCTCTGTTCAAGAAATATCTGTGAAAGAAGCTCCTGGTTCAATGAAAGATGCCAAGCCAAAGACTGAGCAAGCAACATCTGTTATTTCTCCTCACGAATCACTTACTGTCCAGGAAGTGTCGGTAAGGGAAGTTCCAACAGAGATCAGTGACAAAAAACCAAAGACAGAAAAGGCAACTTCAATATTGTCAGAACAAGAGTCTATCTCTGTTCAAGAAATATCTGTGAAAGAAGCTCCTGGTTCAATGAAAGATGCGAAGCCAAAGACTGAACAAGCAACATCTGTTATTTCTCCTCACGAATCACTTACTGTCCAGGAAGTGTCGGTTAGGGAAGTTCCAACAGAGATCAGTGACAAAAAACCAAAGTCAGAAAAGGCAACTTCCATATTGTCAGAACAAGAGTCCATCTCTGTCCAAGAAATATCTGTGAAAGAAGCTCCTGAATCGATGAAAGATGCTAAGCCAAAGACTGAGCAAGCAACATCTGTCATTTCTCCTCACGAATCACTGACCGTCCAGGAAGTGTCTGTTAAGGAACTTCCCACGGAGATCAGTGACAAAAAACCAAAGACAGAAAAGGCAACTTCTATATTGTCTGAACAGGAGTCTATCTCAGTTCAAGAAATATCTGTGAAAGAAGCTCCTGGATCAATGAAAGATGCTAAACCAAAGACTGAGCAAGCAACATCTGTCATTTCTCCTCACGAGTCACTGACTGTCCAGGAAGTGTCTGTTAAAGAAGTTCCAACTGACATAAGTGAAACAAAACCAAAAACAGAGAAAGCAACTTCAATATTATCTGAACAGGAATCCATTTCTATCCAAGAAGTGTCAGTGAAAGAAGCTACAGGATCAATGAAAGATGCAAAGCCAAAGACAGAACAAGCAACGTCTGTTATTTCTGAACTTTTGTCACTTACAGTTCAAGAAGTATCAGTGAAAGAATCTCCTGAAGATTTTAGTGATAGGAAACCAAAGACAGAGACAGCAACTTCTATTTTGTCTGAGCAGGAATCTATTTCTGTTCAAGAAATTTCTGTTAAAGAGGCTCCATGTTCAATGGAAGAAGTGAAGCCAAAAACAGAACAAGCAACAACAATTATTTCCCAGCACGAATCTTTAACAGTTCAAGAAGTAGCTGTGAAAGAGGTTCCTACTGATATAAGTGATAAAAAACCACAAACACAACAGGCAACATCAGTATTCTCTCCTCAAGAATCTATTTCTGTTCAAGAGGTTTCTGTGAAAGAGGCTCCTGGTGCAGTTAAAGATTCTAAGCCTAAAACAGAACATGCAAAATCTACCATCTCTCCACTTGAATCACTTACTGTTCAGGAAATAACAGTAAAGGAATCTCCCAGAGATATAGAGGAGTTGAAACCAAAAACTGAGAAAGCAACTTCTGTATTATCTGAGCAAGAGTCTATATCTGTTGAGGAGATTTTGGTGAAAGATGTTCCTGGATCAATGGATGATTTGAAGTTCCATACAGAACAGGCAACCTCAGTTATTTCCCCTCACCAATCACTTACTGTTGAAGAGATCACTGTAAAGGAAACTCCAAAAGATTTAGCTGATGAAAAACCTAAAACAGAGATTGCCAAATCCCTTCTGCTGCCACAGGATTCCATAGCTGTACAGGAGGTCTCGGTTAAAGAGGCTCCAGTTGATATTAAAGAACTGAAGCCAAAATCCGAAACAGCAAAACCAGTTGTGAGTACCCAGGAATCTCTTTCAGTAAGTGAGGTTCAAGTTGAAGGACAGACTCAAGAAATGGTTACTCCGAAACAGATAAGTGAAACTGCAAGGGTTAGTGTCACAAAGAAAGACTCTGTTCAGGTTCTTGAGGTGTCTTCAGAACTCGCTCCAGATGATATTCCCGAAACCAGGTTGATTGAAGACAAAGCAAAGGTTACTGTCACTGAGAATTTGCAGCGTGCAGATCAGGAAGATGTAATTGTTTTAAGAGGCCCTACAAAGGAAAAGAAAATAATAGAAGTCGTTGAAGAATCAGATGAAGAACTTGTTAAAGAAATACCTGAGGTGAAGGAAGAGGAAATTGTTGAGGAACAATTTAAGCTAAAACCCAAAACTAAAAAGAAGGTCAAAGAAGAGATCACCGAGGAAGTCATAATCAAGAAACCAGAGGAGAAAGAAGAAGTCATCGAGGAAGTAATTAAGAAGCCAGATGAGATAGAAGTCACTGAAGAGGTGATGATCAAGAAAAAACCAAAGAAAAAGACTGAAGTTACAACTGAAGAAGTTGTCGAAGAAGTCACAATAAAGAAACCAGAGGTTATTGAAGAAGTAACAGTTAAAAAACCAGAAGAAAAGATTGAGGAAATTACAGAGGAAGTGACCATCAAGAAACCAGAAGAGAAGGTTGTTGAAGAAATCACTGAGGAAGTGCAGATAAAGAAGAAGCCCAAGAAGAAACCTGAACCGAAAATTGAAGAAGTAACTGAAGAAGTTACACTAAAGAAACCAGAGGAGAAGATTGCCGAAGAAGTCACCGAAGAAATAGTCGTCAAGAAACCAGAAGAGAAGGTTGAAGAAGTGACTGAGGAAGTACAGATCAAGAGGAAACCAAAGAAGAAACCTGAACCCAAAATTGAAGAAGTTACCGAAGAAGTCACAATTAAGAAACCAGAGGAGGTTACTGAAGAAGTAGTCATTAAAAAGCCAGAAGAGGTGGTTCATGAAGAAGTCTCTGAAGAAGTAACCATTAAGAAACCGGAGGAGAAGGTTGTCGAAGAAGTCACTGAGGAAGTGCAGATAAAGAAGAAGCCCAAGAAGACACCTGAACCAAAGATTGAAGAAGTTACTGAAGAAGTTACATTAAAGAAACCAGAGGAGAAGGTTGTTGAAGAAGTCACTGAGGAAGTGAAGATCAAGAGGAAACCAAAGAAGAAACCTGAACCAAAGATTGAAGAAGTTACTGAAGAAGTCACAATCAAGAAACCAGAGGAGAAAGTTATTGAGGAAGTCACTGAAGAGGTAGTCATCAAGAAACCAGAGGAGAAGGTTCATGAGGAGGTCTCTGAGGAAGTAACCATCAAGAAACCGGAAGAAAAGATCGTTGAAGAAGTCACTGAAGAAGTGAAGATCAAGAGAAAACCAAAGAAGAAGCCTGAACCAAAGATTGAAGAAGTTACAGAAGAAGTCACACTCAAGAAACCCGAAGAGAAGGTTATCGAAGAAGTCACTGAAGAAGTAGTAATTAGGAAGCCTGAAGAGAAGGTGGTTGAAGAAGTCTCTGAAGAAGTAACCATCAAGAAACCAGAGGAGAAGGTTGTTGAAGAAGTCACTGAAGAAGTCAAGATCAAGAGAAAACCAAAGAAGAAGCCTGAACCAAAGATTGAAGAAGTTACAGAAGAAGTCACACTCAAGAAACCCGAAGAGAAGGTTATCGAAGAAGTCACTGAAGAAGTAGTAATTAGGAAGCCTGAAGAGAAGGTGGTTGAAGAAGTCTCTGAAGAAGTAACCATCAAGAAACCAGAGGAGAAGGTTGTTGAAGAAGTCACTGAAGAAGTGAAGATCAAGATGAAACCGAAGAAGAAACCTGAACCAAAGATTGAAGAAGTTACAGAGGAAGTCACTATCAAGAAACCAGAAGAAAAGGTTGAAGAAGTCACTGAAGAAGTGAAGATCAAGAGGAAACCAAAGAAGAAACCTGAACCAAAGATTGAAGAAGTTACAGAAGAAGTCACAATAAAAAAACCAAAGGAGAAGGTGGTTGAAGAAGTTACTGAAGAAGTAGTCATTAAGAAACCAGAAGAGAAGGTACCTGAAGAAGTGTCTGAAGACGTAACCATCAAGAAACCAGAAGAAAAGGTTGTTGAAGAAGTCACTGAAGAAGTGAAGATCAAGATGAAACCGAAGAAGAAACCTGAACCAAAGATTGAAGAAGTTACCGAAGAAGTCACTATCAAGAAACCAGAAGAGAAGATTGACGAAGAAATCACTGAGGAAGTACAAATTAAAAGAAAACCAAAAAAGAAACCTGAACCAAAGATTGAAGAAGTTACAGAAGAAGTCACAATTAAGAAACCAAAGGAGAAGGTGGTTGAAGAAATTACTGAAGAAGTAGTCATCAAGAAACCAGAGGAGAAGGTGCCTGAAGAAGTCTCTGAAGAAGTAACCATCAAGAAACCAGAAGAAAAGGTTGTTGAAGAAGTCACTGAAGAAGTGAAGATCAAGATGAAACCGAAGAAGAAACCTGAACCAAAGATTGAAGAAGTTACCGAAGAAGTCACTATCAAGAAACCAGAAGAGAAGATTGACGAAGAAATCACTGAGGAAGTACAAATTAAAAGAAAACCAAAAAAGAAACCTGAACCAAAGATTGAAGAAGTTACAGAAGAAGTGACTCTCAGAAAGCCTAAAGAAGAGGCTATTGAAGAAATAACCGAAGAGGTAACCATCAAGAAACCGGAGGAAAAGATAGAAGAGGTTTCTGAGGAAGTAACCATTAAGAAGCCAGAGGAGAAGGTTGTCGAAGAAGTTACAGAAGAAGTTAAAATCAAAATGAAACCAAAGAAAAAGCCTGAATTTAAGGTTGAGGAAGTTTCCGAAGAGATTACCATTAAGAAACCGGAAGAGGAGGTTGCTGAAGAAGTCCAGATTAGGAAACCAAAGAAAAAATCTGTCTTCAAGACCGAAGAAATTAGTGAGGAAATAACTCTCCAAAAACCAAAAGAGAAGGTTGAAGAAGTAACTGAAGAAGTGACACTTAAGAGGCCTGAAGAGAAAATCGTTGAAGAAGTGTCTGAAGAAGTGACCATTAAGAAGCCTGATGAGAAGGTTGTTGAAGAAGTAACAGAGGAAGTACAGATCAAAATGAAACCAAAGATGAAACCGAAGTATGAAGTCGAAGAAGTTACAGAGGAAATGACGATCAAACAACCAGAAGAAGAGGTTGAAGAAATTACTGAGGAGGTTAGATTCAAGCTAAAGCCTAAGAAGAAACCCGAACCTAAATATGAGGAAGTTTCTTCAGAGGTAACAATTATGAGAAAGCGTGAAGACAAAGTAGAGGAAGTTGTTGAAGATGTTCATATAAAGATGAAACCAAAAGAGAAACCTCAGGAGAAGTTTGATGATGTATCAGAAGAAATAACAATATCAAAACCTGAAACTAAAGAGCAAGTGACTGAAGAAATTACTGAAGATGTGCAGATAAAGCTGAAACCCAAAAAGAAGCCTGATATTAGGACCGAAGAAGTAACTGAGGAAGTCACAATCATAAGAAAAGAGGAACCAAGTGAGGAAGAAGAAGAAGATATTTCCGAAACTGTTCAGATTAAGCGAAAACCAAAAAGAAAAATTACAACCAAGGAAGAAGAAGTTACGGAAGTTACGATACAGAAACCAAAGCCAAAGGAGGAGCCTGTTGAAGAAGTTACCGAGGAGTTTATGCTCAAGAGGCCAAAACCAAAGAAACCAGAGGAGCCTCAGCAGGAGGTGTCGGAAGAGGTAACCATAAAGCAAGAGTCTCCTGAGCCAACTGTAACAGAAGAGGTGACAGAAGAAGTGAGCTTTAGGGTGAAACCCAAAAGGAAGAAGCCAATTGTTACTGAAGAAATCAGTGAGGAGTTTACCTTGAGGAAACCGAAGGAGCCAGAGGAAGAAGGGCCTTACGAAGTGAGCGAAGAAGTTACTATAAAGAGAAAACCAAAGCCCTTCATAAGAGAAACTCAAGAAATATCAGAAGAAGTTGAAATGAAATTAACAGAACCTGAAGATTTCACACATGAAGAAACAACCGAAGATGTGAAAATTAAAATGAAGCGACCTAAGAAGAAATATTCAGTGACAGAGGAAACCATAGACTCAAAGATGGTGATCCAGGAGTCTGATGAAGAGGAACCAGAGGTTATATATGAGGAATTAGAAGATGTGGTATATCAAAAGAAAATAATCAAAGATGGCACTGAAATTGCACAGGAATTTGTTCAGCTTAGAAAGAAAAAGCCCAAAAAATCGGTGACAGTTCGAGATGAAGGGGAAGAAACTGTGGTTATCAAAAAATCGATCACAGACGAGACTGATGCTGGTCCAAAACACGAAGATATTGAAGAGTCGTTCCAATTAAGGCTGCCAAGAAAAAAGAAGTACAAAGTGGAGGAAGAGGAGGAGGTTGAGGTAGGTGTCAAAATCAGAAGAGAACCAACATTCGAGGTTCGGGAAGATGTAGAAGAAAGCTTCAGAATAAAAACTATGGAGCCCGAAGAGGAGCCAGAGGAGGAATACGAGGAGCGCGACGTTGAGGGTAAATTCACCTTTGATCTGCCTAGGAAAAAAATACAGAAGCGAACCGAGGAAATTGAATACACCCAAAAGGTCAAGCTTCCTCCCCTACCCAAACAACCTCCCGTCTTCACCCAAGGTTAGAGATCCTGAAGGAGTCTTGTATTACTCCTAATATACTCACAATCCAATTAATCTCATCTCTACTCTTTATTTACTTGTATATATTTATATATGTATTTACATATATGATTTGCCTTTTTTTTTATTTGCCCATGCAAAACTTTCCTTTCCTGTACCGTAGACAGTTTACCTAACATAAGCATAACCCACTACAATATTTCCCGCGCCTGTTTCTACGCATTTCAGTTGATTCTCTATAATTATGCATCTGTTTATCGCCATGACTGGCACGTGTTGATACTTGCGTGAGACGTGACGTTGCTTGCCTTGAAGGTGCTATAGCCTCTGCCAAGGCGAGACAAGCCACCCTCACTCGGGCACTCAGCATGAGTCCTGTAGTCCACTCGTCACAAGGAGTGACGGCCTTGTTTACAAGTATTCTCATATTTCTATGCTAAGCTTTTTTATATATATATTTTATCATTATGTTCGGCTTCCACTGTGTGACGTTTGTCGCATTACGGTATTATTTGACTTGCTTTTGTTTTATGGTTTATTTATATTTTGATTTACAGGTAATGCAGGTTAATACAAATCTTTTAGTTACAGGATTTATTTAATGCATTTGCCCTAATGAAAGAATCTCATGTGAATAATACATATTTCCCCTATGTGATAAATGGAATTCTCCCATCTTAAAATCCCAAAAATGTATAGCCTTACTCTATATAGTTTTGAATTTATCTTTCTTAAAAGAACTCCATAATAGGTTATCTCCAGGGTTCAAATCACATGTATAGCAATGTGTTCACTGACATCTCGCAATTTACAGAGGACGTCCAAATGCAAATACAGGTTGCCGCACAGTCGCCAACTGAAGGTAAACACAGTGACACTAACATGTAGCCTCACACCCAGGATGCTAATGTTTTATTTCTGCTCTAAAACATTTCTTCGCCATCACCTTTACAGTAACTTTTAACATGCAGCCTCACACTTGAGAAGCTAATGTTTTATCTCTGCTCTAAAACATTTCTTCACCATTACCTTTACAGTAACACTTAACATGCAGCTTCATACTTGAGATGCTAATGTTTTATCTCTGCTCTAAATATTTCTTCATCGTCACTTGTACCGTTGTTTGACAGTGATGCGTTACGTGTATTTACAAGACGACATTTCTGTCTTATTTCTGTCTTCCTGTGAGCGATAAATAATGACATGATACTTGCAGGAAGGAGTATAATAAGGCTGGGAGATCGGGGACTTTTTATTGTATATACACTGAGCCAACTATCTCTAAACGCACACTACTGTAACTCTGTACAGGCGATAGCTATCCTGCTTTTTTCTGTGCAACACAGCTGCATTACTTGACTAGCACATGATGCAATGTGAGCAGTCAGCTGCAAAACCTTTCTTAGAACAAACTTAGAATAGTAAATAACTATAATTTGCGTCTACTCACCAATCTGCGATTCATGTCACACACTTCACCTGCTTTTCTACATAAGGGAGTTCAGTACTTAGTGAACTCGTTTTGACTCACAAAAACCATATATATATAAAAAACAATGATAACTAAACACAAAACTTGTGTTTAGATAATCATTATCTACTGAAGAGTCCTTCAGTAGATAATATAGGATATACCAGCCAAATATCCAAAGATATCAACACAGTATAGTGATCAATGAACTTCAGAATATCAACTGTATCTCTCTGGTAAGCCCGTTGTGGTGAGCTACAGTTATTTTATCTCTGTATTAAATCACAGCAGGCCAGCAGGCTCACTCTACCTCTTGTAGTTTCTAATGACTTGCCTGCCCTACACTAGCTCTGGAGATAGCCCCGCCCCTCTTGGTCAAACCTGGAGACCAACTGCGCGCCACAGTCACCTACGTGGCCGACACTACGCAGGAGAACGCAATGCATCTGGTGGAGGGTGAACGCGTCTATATTCAGGGTAGGTGCATTCATACTTTAATATAAGGAGAAGTGTCTATATATTCGTATGTTTGAAGTCGTAGGATATCAAATTGTGTTATAACAAAGAAAGCGTACATTTACTAGGCTATATTGTTATACTAACTTTGTTTGCTGATCTATTAATTTGTTTGGTTACACGGATTAAATCGTTATATAGATTTATGTGCACTAATACAGTAATTTTTGTAATTGTTAACCTGGTATTGGTTAGTTTCTATAATGACTCATAAATTTTTCGTCACTTCATCATTATTCGACCTCATATTATCTGCTTCCGAAACCTTATCATCTGTGCTCGATTCCATGCCATCCGTGTTTGAGCCATTATCACCTGTCCTCTATCCCTTATCTTGTGTTCGAACCTTCATAACCAGTTTTCGAGTCCTTATTACCTGTGTTCTTAATCTATCTTCGCAAGGATGATTCGATACTGAAGATTGACTCTGATATCCTTCTCTGTATGCTTTCAAAAGATTTTATCTATCCTCAATTCTTCTAATCTTCCTTCGTATGGAAAGGTCTCGATACTGGGAATTAACTCTTGTCATCCTTCTCTGTATGTTTTCCAGAGATTTTATGTCCGCTCTGTAGTGCGGTGCCCAAACATTGTCCAAGTGAGGTCTCACTAGAGCAAGGTAAAGTTGCTGGGTCACATTAGTAATCCTATTACTAACGCCAGATATAAAACGAAGAACCCCGTCTTATTTTGCCCGTTCACTTACTCTTGCCTTGAATTTAGGCCTTCATCAATCTTTACTCAAAGATCCCTCTTGCAGTCGGATTTACTAATACCTGCATTGTTCAGCTTATATCACGTGTTACCTTTTTTTCCCCAACAGCATTTGTCACCTTTCAAACCTGAAGCCTATCGAAGTCATCCTTCAGTTACCTCGAATCATTTTATTAAATTTATAGTGCGCACGATTTTAGTATTACATATTGCTTTTCACATTAGTGTCAAGATCGTTTATGGATCTTACAATAATAAAAGAACCAGGACCGACCCCTGAAGCACTCCAAATGTGACTGTTACCACCCTTGTGTTTGTTGACAAAACCACGCACTAGAAAGTGAAGAGACCGTCCTGGACCATTACCAAGTCGATTGTCGACTTGGTTCATTATCTAGTGTGTGATTTGGTCAATATTTTTCAGCCACGTTATTGTGACTCATCATCTGCACCTTTGTTTGCCCCATTCCTGCTAATTGTGTTTTCTATTCGTCAACTAAGACCTAATCCAGTTTAGTAGCCTACTTCATCTCAGCGCCATGAAGTTCAACTTTCCTCACCAACCTCTCCAGCATAGAAATCCTTGTTATGATCAAGATAATATAATCATTATCACTATCTACTACGAATACATTTGAATAAAGATACAATTCATAAGGCAAGAACACCATCTGGTAAGTCTGCACTGGGAGTCTTATTAAATTGTGTTTTTCAGTGTTGCAACCATTTGTATTTATTTTTACCATATAGCCTTCTTGAATATTTTCCACACCTAATGTAGTACTAATTGGGCAGCAGGGACCTGTTCATTTTAAGAATTGGTGTTATGCTGGCAAACCTCAATACTTCTGGAACAACTCTTCAGTTTAGGAATTATATGAAAGAGTCTTATGAGATGGCCACTGAGCTCTTCCTTTCATTCCTTTAAAATTTTAACAGTTGTCGAGGCTTGGAAACCTATTTGGTTGTATGCTTCCATTTGTTTTCAAGGTTCTACTTTTTATCTTTTACTTTACATAACTAATTTTCTGCATTTCTGTAAATAGCCTTTTCAATGTGAATATAATATAGTTTTTCTCTTTGGGATTCAATTGTCTTAAATTTAATTTCAGTGTTCCAGTCTTCTCGTGCACTCTTTGTTTTATTTATTTTATATTCAGAGTATATACCATTTGACCACTAAATAAATAATCTCATTTTTTTCTATCTGTCTGTCTTTACGTTTTTTACCCAGTTACATGTGTTTTCAAGAGTTACAGCCTTCTCATATTTTTTTATTGTTTTGCCTTAATAGATTACAAACTTTAAACTTTATTATTGATCATTCTCGAGCTACTTATACATAATTCATAAATGTGTTGTGTTCATGTGCCGTGGGCCATTTTTCTTCCCTGAATCCTTGCCTTAAGCCAGCATCATCTCCCAAAACTCTGTATTCTATTAGAACTTCTTCATGGAATTGAACAACTTGTGTTCTTATGCAGTGTGCTCTTATGTAACATTATTGATTATGTTCTCTTTGTTAGCTAGGACCAAATCTGAATATTGTTCTTCCATATGAATTTAGTAGCAGTTGGTTTAAGAAAGCAGTCTTTTATGACTTACAAGAAATTCCGTTCATCAGTATTCCTTAATGATACTCTACTATCATACATTAAAGTCTTTATTATCTATTCTCAACATAATTTCAATTTCATAATTTCATAGTTTTTCATAATTTCAATTTGTCGCCATATAAATAAGTTGCTATATGCGATTATGTATCCTATACAATGTGCTCCTTGCTTTGTATACGCCTACGTGAATTTCTGTGGCATACACGATAGTGTACAGTGTAATACCCTTGTTGTACAGAGTCGACCAATAGCGACTGGTGGTTTGTGAGGAAGCACCTCACGCTGGAACAGGGCTACGTGCCGGCCAAGCTGCTGGCCGATGAGGTCTCCTATACACACTACGTCCAGAACAAACTCCAGGAGAAAATCAACAAGCTGCCTGTCTTCGATAGTAAGTTGAATAGGTTTCCCTACAACTCTTATGTTATACTTTTTAAATATCGTAGGCCAAAAATGTTTTAATGGAATGTTGATTTTCCTTATTAAATTAAATTTTTAATTAATATAATTTTTGCTAACTCATAAAGACATATATATATGCAACGAAATCACAATGACGATATATCAGTTAAAATCATTTTGAGTCAATGGAGTGACTTAAACTATCGTTGCTGAGTCGGTTACTGCATTTGTCTGGGAATCACCAGAACGCTGGTTCAAGTCACTCCAATGCCTTAAAAGGATTTCCATATATATATGTACATACATATACATACACGAAGTAATATTGCAGAGTTGAAGAAGGGACAGAAGTCTGAGCCACCGAAAATGGTCTCCAGAATTGAACCATTGATAGTTGTGGATGGCCAGGAAGCACAGTTTGTGTGCAAGATCCAGGGAACTCCAAGACCCAACATCACCTGGTTCAGGCAGACTGCTATCATCAAGCCTTCAGAAGAGTTCCAGGTAAGTAACTGTGAATTATAAAAGTAACAAGTGTAACTGGCATGGAAAAATCTAGGCTTCATTTCTAAATTATATCATCATGCCCATCAAATTTATATTTCAAACAATTTTATGAAATTTAAGATTTGTATTGTTTATAAATCAATCATTCTTGAGGATTTTGTTTTAAATAATTTGTATTTTGTTACAGGTGTTCTACTCTGATGACAACACAGCCACGTTAGTTGTGAAGGAAGTGTTCCCTGAAGACGCTGGCATGTTCACCTGCGTGGCCAAGAACCAAGCTGGCTATGCTTCCTGTAGCGCCGAACTGGTCGTCGAGGGCCCCATCAGTGACCACGGCTCCGACTCCATGGTAGCCTCACGCCGCAGCCTCAGCAGAGAGTCATCTGTCTGTGACATTATGGAAGGCATTCCTCCAACTTTCGCCAATAAGCCAACTGTAAAGACTGTCGAAGAAGGCACTCAACTGGAAATGGATGTGCGCTTGGTGGCTATTCCAGAACCTGAGATCATCTGGAAGAAAGATGGACAGGTAAGACACTTGGGGAAACCCAAGCTACAATTTTAATATTTATCTTATGTGGGTTTCCTGTGCAAACACACAGATCAGAAAGCTCCAGGATTATCTTATCATTATTTAGGTTGTGGTGTACGATTGAGGCGCGCAAGTAGTGTCCCACATACTATGAATACACCAAGATCACGTAATAGAAGGCGGAGAGTTATGAATATTAAAAAAAATATACAAATCTGGGAAATTTAGAGCAAGGGCTACCAGAAGCAGACGATAATCATAACTATGGCGGAGTTGACTGAACCTGTCGAAACCTGAATTATATGTAGTAGTAACTGGGATAAGTTACTATTTTTTGGGTTTGTCGAACGGATTAATTCAGTATACATTTTTCTTACTCGGTGTACGAATATTCGGTTTATGATCCATCTCTTGGGATGGATTAAATTAGAAGACCGAAGTTTCACTATAATGTATATAAAAAAAAAAAATATATATATATATATATATATATATATATATATATATATATATATATATATATATATATATATATATATATGAATGAATCATTCATTCCTTCTGAAGAAAGTACTTAAGGAAATTCCTGTTTCAATTCTTGTTCCGTGGTCTGATATATATATATATATATATATATATATATATATATATATATATATATATATATATATATTTTCGGTATATATATATATATATATATATATATATATATATATACCGAAAAAGTAAGATTAATAATATATTTAATAATATATGTCTACAGGAAAGACTGCTACCAAAATATACTAATATATATATATATATATATATATATATATATATATATATATATACCTACGCTATTTGTGTATTTAAATTAATTAAATTGCATTCTTATTTATATGGCCATTTTTGTTGTCATGACTCAGGTGGTGGTGGAGTCCCAACGTGTGCGTATTGTCAGGCAAAAGGACGTCCACGCCTACCGCTCCGTAGTCATCATTAAGAATGCCAAGAAAGAAGATGAGGGTTCATATGAAATCTTGGTGAAGAATCGTGAAGGAGAGGCTAAGAACCACATTACTCTCAAAGTAACAGTAAGTTTTGGCGACTTTCTTGCCTTGTGTTTCATTCCTTATAGTATATGCAATCTAGTTTCAGTTTAATTAATGACGTGAAAAATGTTGTTTAATTATCATTTATGAGACGAATGAGAAATGAATTCTCATTACTTGCATATTTGTTCCACTTGTAATAGGATGTTGTGATTATTCCCACAGGCACCACAAGCTCCGACGTTCGAGGAGAAGTTCGAGGACCAGACGGTGGAGTCTGAGGGCACCATCCGTCTTGTGGCCAGAATCCGTGGCGTTCCTGCGCCGGACGTCACTTGGAGCAGGTCAGTAGGCGGGAGACTTCTCTTACAGTTCCATTTCTTAGTACCTGCTTATGACTAAGTGAACTACCAAACAGTCAGTCGACGCTCTACTAAACTAGCCTCGGTTAAGGGTCAAGTGCTCTTTTTTTTTTACAAATTGCAAATGCTTGACTTATACCTTTCCCGCATTTTGGATTTTATTTCTTAACATTTTCAGATTTATTTTCTTTGAATCGTTTAAACCTTACAGTTTTTACTTATATACAGAAATAGCCCGTTTTTAGTTTGCCTAACTTTAAACCTTTTAATAATTACATATACAGTATCAGATATGCTATGCTTGCCACTATTTATTTATCTTTAAACAGTTCTTTCAATTTATTTTGCTTTAAGGCAACTATAACAAAAAAACAACATAAGATACTCCCTTAAACCACCCCTGCACATTAACTAAATTAAAGAATTGTCACAAATGACTGAATACGGAACCTACCCACGTGAAATGACTTAGTTAACCTCCCATGCTAATGTTGCTGCGACGGCGCCTCCCACCTCGTCGCCTCCAGGAACGGCAAGAAACTCAAGGTGGAGAAGAATGTGGTCATGACCTTCCAAGAGGAATTGGCTGTGCTTGAAATACGCAGCGTCTTACCCAACGAAGACTCTGGCAAATACACATGCACAGCCACTAACAAAGTCGGCAAGTCCTCCCACTCTGCCAATATTACCGTGGGGGTCGACATTGTGTGAGTATCCGCTTATGTATTCAACCCGCACTTGCTTTCTCCTACTACACCACGATTTTGATACCCATAATTTATTGACTGGGTTTGCTTTTTTTTATATTATCATTTATATTATTATATTTTTAGATTATAATTGGCGTTTTTGGAGATATAGATTCTCTCCTAACACTACGAAATATATATACCTATTTTGTTTTTTTTGGCATGGAATAGTGTAAGGTATTTTTCATCCATCTCTGGTCTATTGTTGAATCACTAGCCTGCTCAGCTACTGTAAATTATTTATGGCTAATTTCTAGGCTGCTTTATCAAACATGTTAATTTACGAAAAAGCAGGCCATCCTGACGAAAATGCTATAAAATTTTAAATATTAGTAAAATTAATATATATATATATATATATATATATATATATATATATATATATATATATATATATATATATATATATATATATATATATACATACATATATATATATATATATATATATATATATATATATATATATATATATATATATATATATATATATATATATATATATCCCTTACACTTCATTTGCAATTTTTAAATTACAACATTAATTTTATTAATTTCATCTTTTATTTCTAATTTCCATTATGACTGGAATAAGGCTGCTGCTGCAACCTAGGCCTTATTATGTATTAGTGTGCAACAGAGGATAGACTGCAAGCAGTTTATAGTAGCTGACTCCATCATATATCACTCACCTTGCACTATAACAAATAAATTGATTATTTAATGCACTCCAATACACACATCATTGATATCATGAACTGTATACCCATTATTCTCCCAATGGTCCTCATTCTTGCTCTTTATAGTCATCATCGTTTTATCAGACGTAATTTGGATCAAATATTTTCATGTTCTTAATTGTATTGCAGTACCTTCAAGCGTGGTCTCGAGTCTTGTGTAGTCGAGGAGAACTCGGAGGTGGTACTTGAGTGCCGCACCTCCAAGGAGAAGCAGGTAAGATTGAAATTACATTTGGAATTCAAATAAGGAAATAATGTCCTAGAATATTTTTTGAAAAGTAATATCCTTATAAAAGTCTTGTGATCAATGACATTTTCAATCTTATGACATGTTATTTTTTATTGTTTTGTCCAGTTTGAGGTATGAGTGAAATTTTCTACCCATCTGGTGAGGTAATTCATATTTATAGGTGATGTTATTGTTTATCAGTTCTGATTGCGAAATATTATCTTTCTGCTTGTCAGAGTTAAGAGATATTGTTCATCTTGTAAACGTAGAAAGAAAGATATTATATATATATTCATTGACAGATACTTAATATCTTGGTCTTAGTGAGAGAACCTGCTACCTAGAATGTCTTAGAGAGATACCCTGGCTCCTTGAAGATTTATTGGGAAATGCTGACAAATTAGAGAATTACTATGAATTATTTTATACAGTAATAATCGATTCCAGACATCATTTGTAAATTTTCTTACAGCGTACATATTTTTTTTATTTATTTATTTGTTGTTTCAGTGCAAGTGGTTTAAGGGACCTAAAGAGGTGAAGCCGAGCAAGAACGTCGTGGTGGAGCAGGAGGGCCTCACCCACCGTCTGGTCATCCACTCAGCCACCCCCAGTGACACTGGCAAATACAAGTGTACCTTCGACGACCAGTCCACCTTCTGTAACCTCACCGTCAAAAGTAAGAGGCATTGTGCTCTACATGCATTTTCAGCCTAATGTAGATGTTTATATGTTCGGATGAATGTTTTGTTATATATGTGTTTTGTTGGGGAAAATTTTGCGCACACTGAGATGTGTTTTATATAGCTGTCTTCTAAGTTTATCACACCACTTGAACAGCTTCTTGAGAACAGTTGAGAATGTGAAAGAAGAAAGATTTTTGTATTGTGTACAAACGAGACTGTGGAGCAGTTAGGTCCGTGTGTGCAATCTGTCCTCTAGACTAATATCTCATTTTGTGTGATCTGGCTCCCAAACCAGCCCGTCCTCCTAAGGTTTCCCAATGTCAAGAAACTGTCCTACTAAAGTGCCCTTATCCTAACCTACCAGAGGACCCAAAACAGAAAACGGGACTGTATGTCAATTTCGCGAGCCACTACCATTTTCTAGTTAGAAGATTTTTTACCTTAGGTAGAGTATACGTCAAAATGCGACGTTCTATTAGGAAGACGGGTTGTTGTTAAGTTCGTTTGAAAAAAAAAATACTGCGAGGAAGCCATTTCCTCATCATGTTCCACCTTTCTTAAAATCATAGCATATGACTTTTGTTATAAATCTGGTGCGTTACGATAAGTGTAATGTGAGAAATTTTAAGATGACATCCACAAGCCCGCTCTCCTTCACCAGGCCTTGATGACTTCGTGGAGAAGCTTCAGGACGAGGAGGTTCAAGAAAGAGAACAAGCTATCCTGCAAGTGGAAGTCACCAATGAAAAGGCTACTGTCACTTGGCATAAGGTAAATATCATTTTGTTTACGTATTTGCCTATGAATAATGACTTGTATCTTTAGACTAATTATAACATATTCAGTTTTATATCTTCCTATAATTATATGACTATGCAAATTTGAATTATTTTAGAACCATTTCCTATGTTCATCGCAAACAGTAAAAGTTGAATGAGTTGTTTTATACAGACGAGGAGTCACAATAACGTGGCTGAAATATGTTGACCAAACCACACACTAGAAAGTGAAGGGACAACGACGTTTCGGTCCGTCCTGGACCATTCTCAAGTCGACTGTGACTTGACAACGTCGTCGTCCCTTTACTTTCTAGTGTGTGGTTTGTTCAACAGCCTAGTTATGGTTATAACAGTGCTGTTTGTAAGCCCATTTTCTTTTTACTGGCTTCGTGACTGAATTTGAAATCTATTTTTGTATAACTCACATGATGCATTCAACTGATGGTGACTAAAGTACATCATAACGGAACTGAATAAGTTATAGTTTGGTGCATAAAATATCTAAGTATTAACCTGTATAGTATAAATTTATAAATATTCATTGTTAACGTGTAATATTTTCGTACTCAAGAAGTATTTACGATATATATATATATATATATATATATATATATATATATATATATATATATATATATATGTGTGTGTGTGTGTGTGTGGGAGTTCATTAATTGTATATAATGTTACATAAAATTATATTACATTTCTTTGCTAATGATATGTGCCACTATAATCCTTATAGAAAATGAGTAGTAGCATCTAAGGAGAAACATTTTTGCTGGATTCATGTCTTTTTATTATTGACACACTGAATGAATACCTTTTCTTAGGATGGCGAGGAGATTACCGAGCACCATGAGCGTTTCAAGCTGGTTTCGCAAGGTAAGACTCGTAAGCTGGTCTTGATGGAGGCCACACTCTCTGACGAAGGGGAGTACACGTGTGTGCTGGGCGACCAGGAGTGCACAGCAGAACTCACCGTCAGGGAACTGCCTGCAGAGATCGTCAGGAAGATGAAGGACCAGGTCGTTTCCAAGGGCGACAGGGCCACCATGGAGGTATGCTTGGCCCGTCATTCAATTTTAGTTACCGTATTTTCCGGCATCTAAGACCGTAGTTTATCGTATTTTACTAGAAAATATACCGTATTTTACTAGAAAAAATTGTGGGGGTGTTTTATGTTGTATGTTTTATCATACATTTACTGAAAGTGATGTTCTTGTCATTTTGAAAGAAACGAATAGGATTTTGTCATGTACAAATACATATTCAGTTGGTGGTGGACCTAAAACATGTGTCCTATTTACCGGATAATACGGTAATTAATTTGTAAAGTTTCTAACCAACTGGTGTTAATACTTCTGTTATAAGAGCAGGGGGACGTCTGCATATTTGTTATACCCTTAACATGTTCAGCGGACTGTTAGCTGCACTGATTGTGAACTGAATGCAAACTTGTAAATTTCAGGTGGAGTTGACCAAGGGTGATGCAGTCATTACTTGGTATAAGGACGAAGTTGAAATCAGATTCTCTGATCATTACCAACTCTCGATTGATGGCAAGGTGAGTTTTCAGGTTTATCTAAAACGTCAGAAATTAAACTGATATCGAACGGTTAGATTTTAAAATGTTGACTGAAATTTATAGTTAATGAACAAAGCCACAAGGGACGTGATGAGGATTCGAACCTGCGTCTGGGATGATCCCAGACCCGCCTACTTCGGAGAAGCTGCAGGATCCTCGTGAGGGCAGTAGCACTCCAGGTTGCAATTCTTTTCCATGTGGTGCAATCGACTAAGGCGCGTCTGTGATCATCACGGCTTTTGTGGATTTGTTCATTTAATATATTACGCTTTTGTGATTTCTGTGTGTACTATAGTTAATATTTTGTTCTGAACCAAACTTATAACTAAAATAAATGAATTAAATATGTGTTAGGCCTGTAAATGACAAGTGCGTAATTCTTGGTATGGCGGTACACAGGTACAAAGACTCATGGTGTACAACTGCCAGTTTGAGGACAGCGGCACCTACCGGGCCGTGGTGGGCAAGAGTGAATGCTCTGCCACGCTCAAGGTACGTTTTGCTTTTATTCATTCAATTGTATTTGTACGCACTATCTATTAACGTAAAATTTGCCACTTAAAAAGTCCATTGTCAAGTATAGCTTTTCTTTGGTTCTTATTCTCTGAGACAAACTTGTTATTGCCAAAACTGTGTGCGTTTGTGATGGTAAAAAGAATCAAGTGGCAATATTTCCTATACAAGTGCATGTTTTTGCTGTTTTAATTTGAGACGTTTGGTTCGTTCATAGCAAATAATACATATCAATTATATCCAGGTTGAGCTTCAGGTAGAAGGTGACTTCTCGAAGAAGCTGCCAGCTCAGATGGACGTCAACTTTAAGACAGATGCCACCTTTGTTGTTGAAATTACAAAAGACTATGAAGTCAAATGGTTAAGGTAAGCAATCGTCATAATTCAAAAGCCAACTAAAACACGTGAAAAATAACTATTGATTTATATCTCGGATACAGAGCTAGTGATATATACATAATTTCCTCATGTAAGTTTCTTGAGCACCAATCTTAATGAATGATGGTGCGAATGGCTTACAACAGGGAGGGTGCTGAGCTGAGTTCCTCTGAGAAGTATGTTATTAAGAAAGAGGCCAAGAAGAGGATCTTGATAGTCAAGTCCGTATCTCAAACTGACGCCTGTGAATATTCCTGTGTCCTTGGAAATCTCAAGACGTCGTGTGTACTGCACGTTGTCCGTAAGTATAAAGAAAGCCTCCAAGACTTTCAACCAAGAAACCTGTAACATTTAGATTTTTTATATCTGTAGATATTTTAAAAAATCCATATACAGAGATATGGTAAGACAGGATTGCATTAGATTTTAAGAATATATATATAAATTACAGGTATGGAGACAGCACCTAAGATCCCGAAGGAACACCAGAAGGTGGAAGTCATAGTCACAAAGGGTAAAGATGCTGTACTCAAGGTTCCATTCACTGCTACTCCAACACCCAAAGTCTTCTGGTACCACAAAGGCCAACTCCTAAACACAGAAAACACAGAAAAAGTAAGTATATATATATATATGTGTGTGTGTGTGTGTGTATTTATTTACATGGTGTTTGTGTCTAAATAAATGGGAGTTTGCTTTATACAAAATTTAGTTTTAATTGAATTTGATATATCAGAACCACTTGAACTTTCTTGTTTAGATATAAATAAATCAATATGGTTTACTTGACACAGCTGCTGCCAACGATATCGGAACAGGAAGCATCGATCACCATCAAGCAGGTGGAGAACATCGACTGTGGCGAGTACAGACTCAAGCTGTGTAACGACTGTGGTGCGGCCTATGCTGATTTCACCCTCAAGATCCTAGGTGGGGAGGCCTATATGGCCGGTGTTTTTGTATTATGGTTCCCTGTCTTTATTCTCTCCTGGATGATAATCTCACTTACTTTTAGCTTTTTGGGAAAGACAGATATTACGCAAACAGTATAATCACGAGAACGTGATAGAGTTATGAGTACTTATTGAAGCCATACAATGGGATCGAACTCGCGTTCCTGGGCAGCCACAAGGTGGCTATTGAATTGATGTCTTGACCCGCCTTGGAATATGTCTCACTTTTATATATTTCTAAGTTATTGGTGAATTTTGACTTTTTTTCGGTCGGGGGGGGGGAGGTCGTACTCGACCTTCCTTACTCTTTAATAAAGATTCTCATATATTATCATGGCTCTCGAATTACTATTTATGAGTTTGCTTTTGTTTTTTTACTACATATAGTAAGAAACGAAGGAGGGAGTGAATCATCAGGAGAAAGCTCCAAGCAATTACGACTATATAGCACTTGGAAGGGGTCAGGATAATGATTTGGGGCAGGACGCAGGACGGGGGGGGGGGGAGGATTAGTGCCCAACCACTTATGGACGGTCGGGGATTAAACGCCGACCTGCATGAAGCGAGACCGTAGCTCCACCGTCCAGCCCAAGTGGTTGGGCTAGTAATAAACAAACTTATTGTATCTTTTTATAACTTTTTTTCCCCCCTCTCAGACAAACCTTCACAGCCTGGCACACCAGAGCCCATGGAAGTGACCAACGTGAGTGTCACGCTGCACTGGTCCCTCCCCAAGGAGGATGGTGGACGTGCCATCACCAACTATATTGTGGAATACATGTAAGATTTACAGTATACTTGATTCAGTTGTAAATATTGTTTTCCTGTATCGCATATGCCAGTATTGAACTAACTGCGACGGCGCCATATATATTTAAAAAAATCACCCATCATCTTTATCTCATTATAACATGCATGGAATTGAGGAGGCCTCAGCCCTCAGACTATAAAAGGGTAGAGTTGGAAAAGGTTGAACATCAGTAATGATATCCACCTATTTCTTATACCTTCCATCACCACGACATGTCAGCCAGAGCAGCTGATCATAGGACCGTGTGTGAAGGTCTCCTCATGGATGGTTGATAGATTTGTGCCAAATTTTTATCCCATTTTTAGAAACGGCTTCTGCCAGTTCTTATTTTCTTCTGTTTCTTGTAAGCTGCTCTCACTCTTATCTTCCCTCCTTCACACTCTTATCATGTCTGTCTGTTTTTGTTAATCTTCTTTTCACACTTCTATCTCTTGAAATTGCTGGAATACCTCACCCTACCAGACCACCCTATCAGCATTCGTTATAAGATTGTTAACATCTGCATTATTTTGATTTGTTTTTTAATATAAAACGTACATTTCTAGGAGTAAGAAGGAGCAGAGCTGGGTTGTATTCAACCAGCAAGTTAAGATAACACAGTCAACTACAGTCGTCACGAGCCTCACCACACATGAAGAATACTGCTTCAGAGTGTCTGCAGAAAATGAGATCGGAAGATCTGAGGCCTCAAATGCTTCAAGATATGTCAAGGTAAGTTAGAATATCACAAACACCTGTAAAACACTTTTCGTAATTTGTTATAGAGTATATAAGATGTTTGTGTATTTTAGATACAACATTGTCTAATGTTTAATGTTAACTACTAAACAATTGTAAAGTATTTAAGCTAATATAAAGTAATATCATGAAACGGTTATGTTTGTACTTTCATCTGATTAATGAATAAATGTATTAACAATAGCAATTACTTAAAATTATAAATTTTGTGAGAGTAATTTTTCACAATGATGTAAAGAGGTGACTAGAGAGTGTTGTTGTACAGGTGTGTGAGCCAGTGAGGGCTGAGCCACCCGTGGTCAAGGAGCAGCTACAGGCAGTAGTGACCGGCCTGCACCAAGAGGTGGTCCTCCGCTGCGTGGTCACCGCAACCCCGACACCCAAGATTGACTGGCTGAAGGATGGCAAGCCAGTCTCCGGTAACACCAGCTACGAGAACTTTACAGCCACGTTAACTATCAAAGAAACAATGGAGACCTCGGGCGGGATGTACACATGTCGGGCCAGTAATGAAGCTGGCATGGCAGAATGTTCCGCTACCGTCGTTATTCAAGGTCACTTATACTTCTAAACCAAATATGTTTCCCATTGATACATTCAAGGTCACTTATACTTCTAAACCAAATATGTTTCTCATTGTTGCATTTAAGGTCACTTACACTTCTAAACCAAATATGTTTCCCATTGATGCATTCAAGGTCACTTATACTTCTAAACCAAATGTTTCCCATTGATGCATTTAAGGTCACTTACACTTCTAAACCAAATATGTTTCCCATTGATGCATTCAAGGTCACTTACACCCCTAAACAAAATGTTTCCCATTGATGCATTCAAGGTCTCTTACACCCCTAAACAAAATGTTTCCCATTGATGCATTCAAGGTCACTTACACGTCTAAACCAAATATGTTTCCCATTGATACATTCTCTTGACTAAATACAGTTTTCAGACATTGTTAATCCATTTTGGCTTCACTAAGCTTATATTTGATTTTGGTGTTCCATGTACTATATATCAAATATAGCTGATATATATACATTAAGTGAATGCTGGCATTTATTCAACACTATAGCGAAATGTTATTCATTTGATCATTCAGAGGCTCCCAGATTTGAGTATGACGAGAAGCAACAGTGTCAACGTCTTACCGTTGGTGAGAAGTGGCATGTACCCATCCAGGTCATTGGTCATCCCCGGCCCAAGATCACCTGGGCACGCAATGACAAGGCTCTTGTGGTAAGACGCCTTCCACCACTTATCTTAAACTGTTTATATATTCTTGATGTAGATATACTTTTTATGCAATATATTGTTCTGGCATACAGTTTTACATATTATATTTTGTTTCTATTAAATAATTTTTAATATGTAGGTTTAATAATTAGTAACTCCTTAATGATTATGCAATATTTTACGTGATTTTGTAATATTTTAACGTTCGGCTGTAATGCTGTATAATCAGATATTACGGAATTTTCATCGGTAATTTTGCTTTGGAAGCGTGCATTTAAGAATATTTTAGTCATTAATTAAATGTAAATATTGAAAATAATGACCCTGACACGTGGACTTGTATTATCGTCCAGTCGACCCCACATATCGTCATCCACGTTGATGAGTCGGAGGGTTCAACGGACATTGCCATCCACAAGCTGGCCCTTGAAGACTCTGCCGTCTACACACTCACCGCTCACAACTCCGCCGGGAGATCACAACTCAGCTTCAATCTCCGTGTGGTCGGTACGTTATGGGCTGCTTATCTTAGGTGTTACGTTACCTGCTGAGCCTACTCTGTATGGAATTGATGGGAATAAGTCACGGTAACGCGGCTGAAAATAAGTAACGCAACAAAGGTGAAATGGTGATATATATATATATATATATATATATATATATATATATATATATATATATATATATATATATATATATATATATATATATATATATATATATATATATATATATATATATATATATATATATATATATATATATATATATATATATATATATATATATATATATATATATATATATATATATATATATATATATATATATATATATATATATATATATATATATATATATATATATATATATATATATATATATATATATATATATATATATATATATATATATATATATATATATATATATATATATATATATATATATATATATATATATATATATATATATATATATATATATATAATATTGTTCCACCTATATATAAGGGTCCACCTTATATATATAGGTGGAACCCCTATATATAAGGGGTTCCACCCCTCTGGTTGCGTTATATATAGGTTGCTTGGATCACTAATAGGGACTAATAAGAAGCTCGTATATAGTTGTCTTAAATTGTCTTTGTGTAAATAAAATATAAGATATTGGTTCTCTAGGTACCGAGATTATAAGTGACATCACTGCTACTCTTTTTAACTAGTGCTTCATACTTCTATTTTAAAGAAACTTTCATATTATTTCTCCTGAATTCTAAAGCAATATATAATTCATAACTAACATTAATTTCTGTTAATTCTTGAGTAACAACTTCCTTTCGGAATATATATTTCCTTACTACAAAAAAAAAAAAATTATTTGACCCGTTTTTCTTAATGGGTAACTTTAACATGACTTTCTCCTTGCACACGTCTTCACCTCCAAACAGAGGAAGAGAAGGAGTACCAAGTATGCGCTCTTGAGGTGATAGAGGAAGAAGTCAAGAGGGGTAATAAACCAACACACGTTTATACATACTATATCAGTCTTACCAACCACCACCTTATGCCACTGCTGCCAACTTAACGCGCTATCAGTTTTTGACAATTTTTGTATACTCTGTAAACTGTTTTTTTTCACTATACATGCTATCTGCCTACATGTTTTACATATGTCATTACATACATACTTAGCAGCTGCTGCCAGCCTAGTGGAATAACCTTCAACAGCGTGCAGATATATTCCTAACTAATTCTGGTATTCCTAAAGTGTTAATTAAATGACTTACTTCTTAAATCCTATTAAATCATTTTTATCACGAGTATTGTCAAGCGCTGAATCCATTTCCTAACTTACAGCATCAGTAAAGACGTCCATAGATTACCCAAGTTTAGTTATATATAATACATTTTCGTTGGTGTTGAAGAAGCAGAAAGCCATGCTTAATCAAATATAGCTCAAGAACATCTTTATATATTTTGTTAATTCTCCCTAGCTTGTAGCAATATTTGAAACACTAGAATGCTGAGTAACATTTTTAGATTAGCATCTAAATATCTGTAAACCGTACATTGCATCAGCATTTTATAAATAAAATTATGTGGGAAGTTAATCTTCATGGTACGTGCAGATTGCAAAAAGTTAAGCTAAACACAAATGCATTCTGACTATTTACTTTTCAACAAAGACAATGTTCCATTCCCTTGTTTTAGCTCTGAGGAACCCCAAGAAATTTCCGAGCCTGCTTGGGGCCTTCTGCCATATTTCTCCATCCCTCCTCCCCCGTCTCCATTCACAGTACTCCCCTAAAGGCTCAAGGGGCTCCTTACACAGTCGTAATGGCTTGGCACTTTCTCTGATAATTGAATTCCCTTCCCTGAGAGCTACGTACACGCTTCTGCACGAATTATGTGTAATAATAATCCTATGCTCGTTTACCTTTTTTTTTTTTACTTTGATTTCAAATCCCATCATAAATTTATTATTTGAATTATTTATTTTGGTAGTGTTTTTTTATTTATTTATTTGGGCTGAATTATGTGGATAATTTATTTTGACCGAGATATTTTATGATTTATTTTTAACCGAGTTATTTTGCTTATTTATTTTTTAAAGTTATTGTCGTTATTTTATGTTGACCGGATTATTTGGCTAATTTTCTTTGCTCGAATTATTTTGTCTATTTTGACCTAACTATTTTCTTTATAAATTATTTACTTCTTTAACTGCATCATGCTATTCTATTTCGTTTCCCGGTTAATTTGTTTTATCTCTTGTAAAATATGCAAAGCTCACTAATCTGCAGTCAATCTTTGTAAATTATGTGTTGTAAACTTAGAGTAGTAATTTGCTTATATTAACTTTATTCAGTATATTTCATCCAGTGTTTTGCACAATCCAACAACTTCAACTCACATGTAACTAATGTTCATATTATTATTAAAAGAGAGTCAACCGTGAAGTTATTTCACATATATAACAATAAACGACACAGCTTAACTATCACACAATACTAGTTCTCACAATGCAAGTTCTGCATTGTGAGAAGCAAAATACTAGTTCTCACAAGGTCATAGAAGCCTCAGCTTGGTTTATTAACAGTATTTTCCATCGACAGAGCGACCAGCCGCACCCTTGGGCCCTCTCGTAGCCAGCGACGTGACCTCCTCTAGTCTCGTACTGACTTGGCAAGCGTCACCCTCTGACGGAGGAGTCGAGATCTCCTCTTATTATATCGAAAAGCTTGAAAAGTCACAGAAGCAGTGGCATAAGGTTGCTGAAGTTGGTCCGGATGTAAGGTCATATATGGTAACGGATCTGCTAGAGGGGCACGAGTACTTCTTCAGAGTCTTTGCCCTTAATGCTCTGGGTCTTTCAGACGCGTTGGAGGTGTCTGAGACAATCGTTCTCAAGAGTCCCTTCGGTAAGAATTTTGTGTTTACCCATTTACACTTCAGTTATATATGTGCGATATCATTACTAAATTACAATATCTATTATTCATTATATTGCCGCTACCTTCACCTTTCTCTGTAGATAAACCTGGACCTCCTATTGGTCCCTTCGATGTGAGCAACATCACCGAGACGTCACTACACCTACACTGGGATGAACCTGACCATGACGGCGGGTCTCCTATCACTCACTACATACTAGAGAAACGCGAGTCTACCAAGAAGGCCTGGGCTAAGGTTGGCCAAACGGAAGCGACAGTTACGGAAATGGAAGTCACGGGCCTTAAAAAGGGAACAGCGTACTACTTTAGGGTATATGCATATAATGCAGTCGGCCAAAGTCCACCATTGCAGCCGGAAGAGCCGATCACAGCAGGCAAGAAGATCAGTGAGTAGAGCACGTGGCTGGGGTACTGCCCACGTGGAGCTAGCCGGGACACACAGCCTAGCACGCGCTCTGCCGATAATATATATATAAATGCGTGTGTGTGAGAGAGAATTTTTCAAAAATCAAAGTAAATATTACAAATTGGAGAAAGGTTGAAAAGATCGGCAGGGCGCGGGCCCCCCACATGACATATTGGTCACGTCACCAGACATAAGTGACGTCAGGACCATCACACACCACTACACACTGTAGCTGACCCGTGGCAGCACCACCGCCGTAGAGAGGCAGCATGGCCTAGGGCGAGCATGAAGACATACCGCCGAGGGAGTTACTACTACCGCCTTGGTCGACCTCAGCTGCCCTCCTTGAAACGAAGGCAGCCAGAGGACGGCCAGCGGGTGGCAGCAACTCCTTCGATCCTTTCCCCCTCCTACTTTCCCGCCATTGGTCCGCTATGAAGTTGGTACAGACATTCCACCACGGGGCTATTGTCTCCGCCTTCCTCTCACTCTCATTGCTTACGTAGTTACGCTCTAGTCTTCAAGTTCCACTTGTATTAACTCTACACCATTTACATTTATTTTTAAAACAGCCATTAATTTTAAAAATGATGTTTGGTTATCTTCCTGATAAGAGAGTATACAGTTCAACGAATCTTCCGCAGTGAAGCAACAGCAAACTGAACCAGGAACACGATGATAAATGACACTTCTGGCCTCCTCCATCTCACATAAAGAATTTAAAATGGCATTTTCCCTAAATTACATCTCCTAGTAACCACCATAGATGTCTAGCATTAATATTTAGCAAAATGCAGAGCAAATTTAGATTTTTTTTACTAAATAAGGAATGTTACAACGCATGAATATTATTTCTGCGTTTCCATTGCCAAACAGAGCAATTTTGTTTATAATGAATCTAGTTTACCTTGGTTAAATGTCATATTTCTGAAACAAGCGATGATTGGATAGTATTATCTATATATCAAACTTTTTTACCAAAAGGTTGACTACTGTGATTAATGAAGCAGATAGATACGTTATCTTCCCTATGCATGGAGTGACGAAAATAAACAACAGTTTCAATCAAACAATTTCAAGCGTAAATTTGTAAAGTATTATCACTCTGTTGACAAACTCTGGAGAAATATATATCTTTCTAAGGTCAAGATATTTAAACTTATGAGTAATAAAAAAGATTAAAATGTCAAGCAGTTAGATATATAAAACTAAGTCTAATATTTATTACATGAATTCATTTATTTTTCACTTTAAATCACACAAGAACCATTTAGTGTAAGCATTTACAGCAAAGAAATATTTTTTTGACTTGGAGCACAAATAGGTTAAAACATTTGTAATATTTGCTTCTGGTGTGATGCACTCCTCAGAATTGTTCTGCATTTGTCCAAAATTTCGTCATATGCATCAGTCATTGGAAAGACCAAATTCAGGCTCCTTTGCTTTGCATTTCGAGTAAAGCATAACGCTAATGACAAGGATAATAGGCACGGAAACAATACATATTACATATTTCGAAGTAGCTACGTATTATGTGACTTCCCTGAGACATACATTGCCCTTACATATCAAATCATTTAAACTAATTTAGCATATTGGAAGTCAGTGTTAAAAATACTACATTGTAATTTTTCAGAGTTAATATGGCGAGGTTTTACCTAGCAAACTTGGTCCACAAGCAAGAAGGAATGCCAGCTTACGGTATCCTAAAGCTGGTTAAATTTGTTCTCAAAATGTCACATATGCCAAACTTTGATAGAGATATCTGGGTTTTTGCTATTAATGTAGACCTACTAACCCACGGAACTGTGCTACAACCCGCTAATACAGCAAGCCACCACCCACGGAGAGACACAATACGTGCACCGGTGATTTTCCATATGGGCAAGCTACCCTATTGTTTTTTTCTTCCCCCCCTAGTATTTACGGTGTCTGGGCATAAGGTATCTCATCATCAGTTATCATGCGTGCCTCACCCATCTTGTAAGAGTATCCCACGATATTGAAATGTGTTTAGTAATCAGAGGATGCTTCATGGAGCCGTGATCAAGCCATTAACACTCGTAATGAAAATCTAATTTGCATAATTCTTCGCGATATGAGTTATATTTAGCTATAACTGACATTAAATGTATCTGTCTTAACTGCTTTGCTTTCAATATTTTGTGGTTCTTTTCTGTGTTTTTATCGCTTTTGGAGCTAGTGAATTGCAGGAGTGTTTTTGCCAATATAGATAAATGTTTATAACTAATATGAGTGCTAATCAGTTGTAAAAGATGCAATACATTCAATTATAGCAGTCAGATATTGTCTAGAAGCTTACTTACCACAGAATAATCATAAATAATATGTTAGCTAAAAATCTTGGGTTGTATAATCATGTCAAGAAAATCCTTATTTGCCAAAATAACATCAATAATTCAACCTCACCATCATGGCTCCACTGTTAAGCCTTTGTCAAGTGAAACAACGAACTCATTATTTTCTTTTCATTTAATCTTTTAAATAAGGTCATCTGCATGTTTTTAAGTTTCCCCCATGCCTCATCATTGGATTTTCTTTGATGTAGCTCCCCCGTCCAAGCCTAACAGTCTACAAGTGATCGATGTGACCACTAAGACGGTGACGCTGGCATGGGCGCCACCCACTACAACAGGAGGAGCTGATCTTATGGGTAAGACTCACAACCGAAGGTCTGTTACTGGTTTTATATTCTAAACACTCTAATATAGCCCTCAGCCTTGAGCACAAGTGGAACAAATGTGATAGATATGATATGAACTTTTAATTATCTTTTAATATCCAGTACAAGAGTAGCTTCAATTCCACGGGATAAGTTATCATCTGCAAGTATTACATCAACACAGTTTCTCTGAGGGGAGCTGTAGCGTGAGTAATACCTGGAACCAAATCATCACCACAATATTCGTAATTCAAACATAAAATGGTCACATTCGCTGTAAATTGCTTTAAAATTATTTGATGACATTATCAGAAAATCGTGAATATAAATTAAATTGCTACTACACTCATCACTTTAGGAACCAAACTAGAAAGAAAACAGATTTAACCGTCTGACCTCTGCAGGTTACGTGATCGAGCGACGACTAACGACGGAGAAGAAGTGGGAGAAGGTGGACACCGTCGACGCCTCCGTCACCCTTTACTGTGTGGAGAACCTGAGGGAGAAGTCTGAGTATGAGTTCAGAGTATTCGCCGAGAACCCTGTTGGTCTCAGTTTAGAGGCCGCCCTAACAGAACAAGTCAGGCTAAAGACTCATGCCAGTAAGTGAACAAGTGACAAATTGAGTTAACTTTGGTTCCCAATGAAAGCTGTTTAAAAATCATATAATATTTTTTCTTAATGTGATAGCTGACTTTAACGCATTTAATAGTTCATATCAGAATTATGAATTAACAGTATTTTCATTTCTCAATTTCTACAAGTTATATTTAGATGTGATTAACTGTAGAAATGAACATAACATAGAGCAAACAACTGAAAGGCACTGCTATTGTTGACATACGGGCGGAAATACCATATGATACACTGTTGTGGTTCAGGTACTTACCATGTTGACCAGACCACACACTTAGAAGGTGTAGGGACGACGACGTTTCGACTTGAGAATGGTCCAGGACGAACCGAAACGTCGTCGTCCCTTCACCTTCTAAGTGTGTGATCTGGTCAACATACTTTAGCCACGTTATTGTGACTCATCGCCTGCGTACTTACCATTTCTCTTGTGCCTTCAGCTCCTCCATCACCACCCACTGCGCCCCTGGAGGTCCGTCCCACCGGTCCCACCAGCCTGATGATTGAGTGGGGAGCGCCCGAGAGTGACGGAGGGGCCCCTCTACTAGGCTATATCATCGCTATAAGAGATATCAAGAGAACTATGTGGATTGAAGTTGGCCAAGTCGGAGCTAACTTCACTAGGTTACACATCAAGGAACTGCAAGTGAGTTTATTCATGATGTTTCTAGAAACTAGAAGTAAATGAAGATAGATTAGTGCGGATTTCAGAATTCAATTAGATTGTTAAAGCACGAACACATAACTTCATTAATTACGTTTCGCTGAGAAAATGTATGTGTTTTACAAATTAAACACATTTGTCCACTATACATATGTACATGACTACATCATTCTCTAATAAAAAGTTTATTGCTTTACACATTCCATCACGAAATATTTTAATGTTTATTATAAATTGTACCTGTAATATGGTAATATTCAACAGAGGGATATATATGCACCGAAAGGTATATTTCCACTTCTCGGTGTATATTCACTTGAGAGTATACTTTAGTCCTGAACTATGTTCAGAAGTAAACTTGCTGGTTAATCAGTAATCTATTGTAGTAGCCATAAAAACCCCTCCCTCTGTTGATAGACCTTAAGCTCAACACCAAATCGAAAAAACATGTTGCTGGATCACTTAAACGTACACCTCAATGTTTAGGAGGAGCATGAGTACTTCGTGCGTGTATTCGCCCGCAACGAGGTTGGTGCCAGCGACCCGCTAGAGACCGAGGAGGCTGTCAAGATTATCAGACCAGCCGGTAAGTACATGTTTACTAGTATGCCTCCTAACAACACGCTCTCCTCTTATACGTGGTACACTTAATAAATCCCTTTTATCCCACAACACCCAACCAAAACCTGAATTTGTTTTTTAACTTTTAAAGTAGCTAGTCTATGCTTCATGTAAATCTATATACATATTTAGCCATGTTGACTTGTTTCTTCATTATTTTATTTACCATTCCATAGTATTTTCAATTTGTTTACATACACTCAAATGCTGTATTTGCATGGCTTTGTCCCAGCTCCTCTTCACTTTTAACCTTTATTAAAAGTCATATCTACTTAATAAATCATCTGTATCGTAAAATAGCACTTATCGTTGAATATATTCACTTTTGCACATGGCAGTGTTGTAGATATTTTTCCTGAGTCATTGTAATTGCATGATTACTTATTTTTTTATCTTTAAAAAAAATTCAATAATTGTAGTGGATTTGTAATGTTGCATTTAACAATGAATTTTTGGAATGCCTTACAAGACATAATATGAACGCTTTGCGATGCTGACTCTGCTCCAATGATTAAGATAAAAGAAAATTACCTTGCACCACTCTTCCTACCCCTACAGCCTACTAGCAATAAAGGTCAAAATTACCAGCATCTTTTGATGCAGTTCACATTTAATCCTTAGATTAAAATAATTGTTGAAAATAACAGAAAATCTGTCACGTCTCCTGTCCAGTTGCTTTCACCCTCAGCTAACAAATCCAAATTCATCATCTCAAGGAAACAGTAAATGTTACGAGAGTGTGGTTGTGGCGCGTATGTAAAACATATGTAACTTGCATGCCTCTAAATTTGCTTTGCTTGTGCAGATGATAATGTCTCATAAAATTATCCAGCTTTAAGGTCTTACTTGTGAATATATCTTCGACGTTATTTGTCGTAAGAGCTAATCACTCAACTGTTTATTGTCAGTTGTTTTATGACTTGCGAGACTTGAGCCAAGGTGGCCAATAATATACAGTTGGGTTTAAATATTCAATTAATCTGCTAAAGCAGTGATTGGCCATCTTAATGACAAGTAATAGTGTGGTTAAAGTGGTTTTCGAGTATAGGCTCCCCCTTGTAATATACCTTGGTGATTGGCGCAGACTTCACGGAGCTGCCTGAGGACGACAACGCCCCCTCGCTCTCATACTCGACGACAGAGACACTCTCGTGGATGCGGGAGGCCGGCATGGATGCTGATATCTACTCTTATGCCCGCGGTCGTCTCCTCAATAGGGACGAGTACTTCTTCAAAGTCTGGCACCGCGGCATGGAGAAATTTGACGAGAAAAAATAACTTTGTCTTAAATATTTTTAATATAATTTTTAAATATGAATCCTTTGGTTAAGTACTGTCTTGTTAAAAATATACATTTTATTTGTTAATTTATGTTATGTATATTACCGAATATGGAGAATTCTCTCCCCATTTATGGACAGGTCACGAATTAGTGTCCACTCTCATTCCTGTTATGGAGAAAGCCCCTTTTTTTGCGAACTGAAGTTGTATTTACTATTTACTGATGAACATAAGATTTGTCAGTGATTCTCGACTATGTTTACGGTTACGACTCTAGGCATCCTCTTATATGAGGGGGTGCCGGAAGCCGCATATTTAAAGACTTGTTCGCCATAAGGTGTTCGGTCCTGGAAGTCCCAGTGGGAACCTTTCGCGCTGGTCTTACAATTACAGTGTCACCGTCATTACCCTGAGATGTTCACCTGAGCACACAGTAAGCAGAGACCCGGAAGTTTCCAGCTGGGATATTTATGGCTTATAATGTTTCCATGATGTTTGACTGCTGCCTTTATAAGCTGAGATTCCAATCCGTGGACCAAAATCTTGTGGCTGTACAACTCAACGACTTTGATATATGAATCCCTATTTTTGTTTACTGTATAAATACGTCATTATATTGTCTGACCGCGACTCAGGATTTTATATAATCATGAATAATAGTATCTGAACGCGAATGTTCATATGTTAGTGTATCTTTAATCAACAACACATTGTGTCCGACCCAAGATGTTTTGTTGTGAATGTACTGTGATAAGCGAACTTACCTAAGTCGGCTGTGTGCTTGCAAAAGAAAATATCTATTGTTCTTTTTCTTGTGTTACCTTATTTATTTTCCAAAAATTTTGGTCTAGTTGGCAAGTCTGGGAGGCTTTTGTAGATCTGCGGCCACACTGCTGCTGCTGAAACTTCCATCTTTTTGACCCGACTACAACAGCCTCTGAGACTTACTGACCAGTGCCAGCATACTAAGAGTGTCAAGTGGGCCCTACTATTGGCAGGTCACGAAGCTGCTGCAACTACTTCTTACACAACCCGTCTGTGACCCAATAGCGGCTCACTTGGCAGCCATGTTTAGGCTTGTTGTGTAGATTGGCAATAAAATTTTTAGAAGACAAAGTCGTATTTTTTGTTGTTGTTTCCTTTGAGATAACTTGGTCACCTGAAAGCAACTAGATAATACGTGACATGATAAGCTAAATTGCTGAGAAGTTCTTAATATAAAAGAAATATTAAATAAGATGACCTTAGAAATTGCTTGACCAGTTGCTTTTAGGCTTGTATATACAAAATTATAATTTGCAACTGTTTTTTTTTTCAAGAGACGCTAAAGATTCAAGGAAGAGTTTACCAAAATGTTGAGCTGAGAATATGCAAACAAATACATGAAATATATATATATATATATATATATATGCAGGGTCTCTATCGACATGTATATATATGTATGTTAACTTTATAATAAGACCACAATGAAAACCAAGATACGAACTTGAAATAAATACTAATGTGCAATATGATAAACCTTACATTTGAACGAGAGGCTTGACTTATTTTGCATGATAAATATGCGCATAATAAATGTTTGTGTCCTGACTTCAATACACAGTTATAGAAAAAAAATAGATTTAGAATCTGATTGTTCATAGCAGTCGAAAGCTTATTTATATAGGTAAAACACGCTGGCATTGTAGCAGGTACACAGTGTTAAGGGACTGTAGGCGAAATACTCACAAGGAAAATATACACCGAAAGCTACACTTTTCTGTACATATTTACACCGGAGTGCACACTACATATAATGAAAGGTACAATTCTCTGTGTACGTACTTACAGCGAAGTCCACTTCTCTGTACATAAATACAGTGAGGTACTATCCTCTGTTTATACGTTTACGGTGAGAGATAACCTCTCCGTGTAACTATGTACACAAACAAGTGTGTCTTTTTAAATGTATATGGACTCCGTTAAGTACACTTTTCAATGTACATACTTACACAGAACCGCACTTCCTAACTTAAATTGCGGCACTGTCACTGTTGTTAAGATCTCGCCAGCCAGCTTCAACATGTAGTCGCGTTTACCAAATAACATGCAAAGGTTCACGCAGATTTCATGGTGGGCAAATGACCTACTATCAGACGTGATCAATCTCCGGGGCCTTCCTCTTGCCACCGTGACTGCAAGTGGCAAACCTTTCTGGCCAGGCTACCTATTAACCCGTCCTCTTAAAAATAACGTCACTTTCGCTCGTATGCGCACTATGGCCAAATTTGGACGTAATTTGAAATGAAATCAACTCACAAAAGTGACGTACTGTACCGTTTTCTGTTTGAGTCGTCCGGCTTACTCGGCAAGCTTAGAAGAGGCAAATTTCCATTAACGTTTTTCATAACATTTTGAAACTTTATGAGAATTTCCTGCCCACCTAACCTGTCAGAGGACCCATAACTTACTGTTGTTGGAAAACAAATATCCCAAATTTATTTTCATTTTTTTTTCATTTTCAAATTACGTCCATATTCGGCCGTACGAGCAAACGGCCAAAAGCGACGTTCTTTTTAAGAGAACAGGTTGCTATTGACCACATACAGTGAACTCGTGAGTATTTAATGGAACAAAGACCTGCACCTTATTCCAAGACTGACATTGTCCTGTAGTACATATATGTGCTACACTAGGCCTAGCAATATTTGTGTTTTAGTATTTTTTCTTGGACAGTATAAGATTAATAGTGTAATACGAACCGTTTTGGGGGTTACAACAGTTCATGAAGTTAATTTCGAGTAAATAGTAAATATAAGTACTATCACTTCAGAAAGGATGAGGTGAGAGTACACATGTAATAGTATGCATTATTAATACATGTTTATATATAAATTATTAGGTCAGGTTTAAATCAAATTAAATAATAAGTGAAAATTTATGAAAAATGTAATATTAAAAAAATCCGGTTTGTTGGGCAATTCTCTGTTATTAGATGCAACAGTAAATATATATAGGACCTTGGGATGCAGGTGAGTCCCAGGTTACATTACTTGTTAGCACATCGTGGTCAAGTGGATTAAGATGGATTATTTGGATTATCGTGGTCAGGTGGATTGGTGTGTGTATTCAGTGTGCAGGTTCGAATCCTCCACATGGCTCCAACTGGTTTTCTCACTGATGCATCACGTTAATAATAATAATAATTTATTGTGTCGGGGGATAGGCAGCCATTGTATATATACACATTAGGCTTATATCGAACCCCCCCCCCCCCAAGGTCGAATTACTAACCCCGCCCAGGATGCAACCCCACAACAAGCTGACTAATTCCTACGTATCTATTTCTAAGTGAACAGATGCATTAGGTGATAGTAAACAAGCCCAACCACTTCTGTCCCACCTGGGATAACATAAAACAATATTTTATCTTATTTTGGTTAGGCCAGGTTGGGTTGTATTGGATTGGGGTTAGGTTCAGTTGGATGGAGTTGGGTTGGGTTAGAATGGCGAAATTTTGCTCAGGTTTTAGACCCGACTCCTTTTGCGAGGCATGTAATGCAGGATAAATATCAACTAACGTAGATGAATTTTCTTATCTTTTCTGCTCATTCAGTGATGTGTTATAAAAATTATAATGTAATGAGAGAGTGGAATTAGGAAGAGTAAGTAATTTTCAAAAGAAGGCACTGAGCGAGAGATAATTGTAATTCAAATGATGATATCCCCAGTATGCGTGCTGCCCTCTGGCGGCCATAATAAGAAATACGAGGCCACATTGTAAGCAAAACACAGCTGGTCACGAGGATTGGCTCCGGGTGATTACTCGAGTTTATCTATATTTTAAGGTTACATTTTCTCAATTCACTGATATTATGATTCCGGGCGGGACAGAAATGGTTGGGCACATTTCCTTTCACCATGCAGTGAGTAGGTACACAAGTTCTTCTTGATGGTAGGTGCAGTTTGTATGAAGGGATCATCATCCTTCGGTGACTTCACGAGTACAAATGTTGAGAGACGCTTTAATGTTGAGAATGATACGGTTTCAAAAGTGTTTATTGCGTTGTGGTGGAGATAGAGGAGTGGCGACTACACAGACGCGTGTGTTAGAGGGAGACGCCGCACTATATGGCAGGATGTTGTTTGTGGCGTCAGCTGATCCGTGATGCTGCAGCCAGGCATTTGTTTTGTGTTTGGCTGTTGGTGGCGCCAGGTATAAATGTGGCCCAATTTACACACAGAATAGAGTCTATATAGTACCACTTCTGTGCCAGGTAAGTACACTACGGGCTCACCATAGCCCGTGCTACTTGGAACTTGTTCCGAGTAGCTGAATCTATAACAACAACAACACTCAGAAATCACAATAGCGTGATGCATCAAATGAACAAATCCACAAGGGCACAGTCGATTAAGGCACGTCTGGGATCCTCTCGGACGTAGGTTCGAACCCTCATCACGGCCTTTGTGGATTTGTTCATGTGGCCCAATTTCTTGGTCGACTAGTGATATTAATCCAGTGGTTTGACTATTTGATATTTTCCATGTAACGAGAGGTCGTCATCTCCTAATATATGCCCGATGGTAAAAGGTATTTTAAGTGCGATAAATACTTGTTTGAAGTTTACTCAGGCACTATGAGTTCGGAAACAGTGAAGGAGACAGTGTTCGATTGTTTCTGGCACGTGACAGAGGATGTAGAATTCGTTAATATCTGTTCTGTACTTAGAGCTGTGTGCTGCCTGTTTGGTGTGCCCCAGCCTTAATCTGGTCATCGTTACATCAATTTCTCTGCTTTTATATCTGACATATTTCCAAGCTTCCCATTTCTTTTGTTATAAACCCATCGTATAAAGACGCGCTTATCGTTTTTAATTTCATTACACAATCTTGGGTGATGCTATCTTTGAAGGCTCCTTTACGTGCAACATGAGGACTTGGATGACGGGTAATGTGAGGCGTGTTGTGCATCGCATTGTCTTGTTGATCTACAACTTCATTATGGAGTATACCACAATGCGCTGGGACCTATTGGATTGAGATCTCATAACGTCAAAAGTTTAATATTTTAGTAGCAAATTCTTTACCATGTTTTATTGAAAGTAAAATATTGCATTTTTTGCGTTTGGTCCAAACGGTAAAAACTGGGATTTTAGTAAAAATGTAAGCATCGAAATATTGAAGTTTTCTGATTCTTGATAGGTGAGGTGGGATGTGTAGGTTTGGCCGCTTCTGGCTAGGCTGCAACTGGCAAGTATAGCAATAACAAATGTCAATCGAACTTGCACTCTGATCCAGATCTATTACTGGCACCACTACCCAGTGATATATTTGGTCTTATTTAAATGAATGTGTTGTACTGAATATCTAATAATAAACGTTGTACCATCAAAGCTAATATTTCCGAAGGGCCGCCCTATCACCAGAACGGGAAATGGGAAATTTCATCAAACTGCTTGTATATCGGCCAAAGTGACTCATGGTTATTGATGGAAAGGGAAAAGTGCCTCTTATTCCCCAAGTATACTCTCACACCACGTCTAATGCCTGGGGCCAGATTCACGAAGCAGTTACACAAGCACTTACGAACGTGTACATCTTTCCACAATCTTTGACGGCTTTGGTTACATTTATTAAACGGTTTACAAGCATGAAAACTTCCCAATCAACTATTGTTGTTATTATAAACAGTCTCTTGGTGTTTCGAAGCTCATTAACTGTTGAATAATTGTAAACAAAGCTGGCAAAGATTGAGAAAAGATGTACGGGTTCGTAAGTGCTTTGTGAATTTAACCCCAGATTTAAACGTTGACCGAAACTTATGGTTCCTTTTAATCCCCTTAAATGGGATGTATATTGATACATTTTTTAATGACTCTGAAATATTTAATATAGATCAGCGTGCCTATTTGCCCTAATATCGACATCTTACGTAATAAATAAGTACTTCACTTTAACTGTAACTTGAATAGTCTTTTATTGGCTTAGCATTTTATTTTCATAATTACATTAGTCACATTTAATTTCGATTATATTACGAATCGGACAATTTTGAAACCAATCTCAACGGGTAATAGGAGTGATTGTGGAGCCTAGCTGTCCTGTTGGCCCTCTAGTGGTGAGCAACGTGA